CAATTTGCAGAAAGTGCGTGTGGTTTTACGTGGAGCGAAGACATAAAGGTTGACATCCTCGGTCACCATCTGACCAAAGTAGCTGAGCGCTACTACAACAGACAATTTGAAGGATGGTGGGAGGAGGAGCCCACACTGAAACATACAATGCAGAGGCTCCTACACACTTTAGCGACCAAGATTACGCCTGCGCAAAGTATGAAACTTTTCATGGCACCCAAAAGTGTAAGCAGAACATGGACGGAGCACTATCTGTACTTAGTTGCTGTGAGTGAGGCTTGTGGCGGCGCCGACAACCTTTTGCAGGACAACATTGTGCACTATGCCGATCCAGCTATGATATTAACGATGCTGGCAAGATTAAACCTTATGCACACTGATTACCGACGGCAGCCAGAGGAGTTGGCACACTTCGCGCAGTCAACAAGGATTGAACTGCGTAGGAAAGTGGAACGAGACGTCGTCAGTAACGTACAGGCTAAATAAACAGATGCACGCAAGTGTTACAAGTGCAGAAAGACGGGACATGTCAAGGCGTTGTTTCCTGATACAAAAGTGGGATTTGATAAGTCCAAAAACGCTGATTTTGTACTTGACATTTGAGAGCCAAACAGCGAAGAAGGTATATGGGTGCTAGACAGCGGCTCAAGTCGCCACCTCGTCAGCGATGTTGACTTGCTAGAAGAGGCAGAGGACTGTGTTATCGAATGTGTCACCGCTGATGGAGGAGAACTGCGTATCACGAAGTGCGGTGCCGTCTTAATCAGTGTAACGTTAATGGAAAAAGCTGTCAAAGTGCGACTTCTCGACATTACTATGCCGACAATGTGGAGAGGAATATCATTTCTTACGGTCTGCTTGAGGCCAAAGGATATGGTATTTTCTATCGCGGGCATCATCGCGTGATTGCATTTATACATGGTGGGCCTTCTATTTTCGACGTTGAGACACCCAATAACGTTCTGGTTGTGCGTACGCTGGGACACGAAAGCACGAAGAGTGTCAGCAACATTCTGATGTCCGTACTGTAACAAAACGAGGCAGAGATGATGCATGACGTGCAGCAAGGATCATTGATACATTTTCATCGACGTTTAGGACATTTGAAATACGACACAATTGTACGCATGGCTAAGTACCCTGATTTTGGAACTCAACTCACAGATGATGATCGTACAAATTGTCTAGCATGCGCGCAAGGCAAGCAAAACAGGAACTAGAATTCGCGCATGGACACGGGAAGCAATTCGCCGATATACGTCGTTGGGGGGAGGGGGTGATCTGATCTGATCAAAAAAGACCATTGACACCTAAAGACCGTCTCGGTAACCGTTACATGGTTAATTTTATCGATCACCGTACTAATTACTGCAGAGTCTTTTTTGGCGAAGACCAAGTACGTCTCAGCTCAGAAGTTCAAGCACTCTATGGCTTTCTTCGAACGACAGTTCAACTGTCGCATCCACGTCCTCAGAACAGACAGAAGCGGTGAGTATCAGACGCTGGATTTGTTTGTAAGGAGACCGGCATCGCGCGGCAAATAAGCGAACCAAGAAACCAAGCCAGCAACGGAAAAGCTGAGAGAATGCACCGCACCATAATAAACATGGTGCGGAGCATGATGTTCGCCTGTGGTTTACCGTTGAGCTTTTGGGGGGATGCCGCTGAGTATTTAGAGTATATTCTTAACAAAAGTCCCACTAAGGCCAACAGAGACAAGCAATCGCCATTGCAAATGCTCACGAACAACACTTCCGTACTCAGCGAAATGTGGCACTTGGATCACCATGTACGGTACACCGCGACGCGAGGAACAAATTTCTGGGCGAGAGAGGAAAGGCTGGTGCAATTATCGAAAGAAGTGACAAAATCAAGGGCTATCGCGTGTACATTCCAAAGAAAACGCTCGTCATTGTGACTCATTATGTCAGAAATGTCAAGACACTCACATCTACACAAAACGATCAGCTAAGACGTTCAATTCTCATGGATGACACTACACCGACTACAATGACCACTCCAGCGAATGAGACGGGAACAGAATCATGTGACAAGACTCGAGGTCGGAGGAGCTCTTGGGCGAGCGATGCTTACGGATTTCGTGCAGCGACACTAAAAACACAGAAGCAGGCTCAGAACAAAATTAGTTATACTGAACTCGATCAACAAGCTCGCGCCGTGGTGAACAGTGTCAGGGAGGCTGATCCGAAGAACTATGAACAAGTCATGCGTAGTCGTCAAAATGACAAGTGGCTAATTGCTATGAAGGGGGAGCTCGATGCCCTGGACAAGAATGGAGTATGGGTTGTGGTGGTGCCACCCAAAGACAGGCACGTTTTGCACACTAAATGGGTGTTTAAGACCAATACAGACGCTGACGGAGCCATTGAACGATTCAAGGCCAGACTCGTAGCCTGCGGTAACGAACAGCTTTTCGGCGTTGATTACGGGCTCACGTTTGCAGCGGTCATGAAGTTAAGCACTGTCAAGGTCATTTCGTTTTCGCGCGACGTTAAAGAGTGCCGGCCAAGCACGGGGACATTCCCAACGCTTACGTAAAAGTAGAAAAGGACAAGGACATGAAGATTTACCTTCGTATTCCACAAGGGATGGAATTATCTGACGAAGTCACGAAAAAACTTGGCGTGGATAACAAGAAAGCGTTGGCTCTTCGACTTGTAAAGTCGCTATACGGGCTAAAGCAGGCCGGCCGGTTGTGGAGTCGTTTGTTACCCGAAAAACTGGAAGAGGCTGGTTTTACGCGAGAGCGAATGTTGTATGCTTATATTTAAGCGTTCGGGATGCGATATAACAATCGTTGGAGCTTACGTTGATGACTTGTTGGTAACAACGTCTTCTGCTGCGCTGGTACAGGAATTGATTCTGTCTATGAGTACATTGTCGATCAAGGATTTTGGGGAAGCACGGAAGTTTCTTGGGATGCGCATTGGTCTCGACAAGGATGAGGGGTACATATTGGGTCAACAAGCAGCGATTGAAGAGCTATTAGAACAACATGGTCTCGCAAAAGCTAACGGTGTACGCAAACCAAATTAGTGACGAGAATTACGATGCGGATTGCAAAGATGCAAGAGTTTTAGAGCATGCAAAGGATGGAAAGGGACCGCCAATACGTAATTTTCAGTCGTTCGTGGGAAGCATGCTCTGGATCGCCCGCTGCACCAGACCTGACATCGGTTTTGCGGTACATAGGTCGACGCAGCGCACACCAGCCCATCGTGAGCGACTGGAAACGAATTGCTCGCTTTAAAAAAACACTGAAGCTGGATGGATGTGCCCAAAGCCTTGGCCAACACTGTCGTCTTGAGGTGCTGGAGTGGCTCTAACTTTGCTGCTGATAAACATGACAGGAAATCAGTAAGCGAGGGTGTTATTACTATGGATGGTGCCATCTTTCATTGGGTCTTCAAGAAACATCCGGGTGTACTATGGAGGCAGAATTTACGTCTGCCTCGCATGTCGGTCGTGAGCTTCTTGGGTTTAGAGAGCTGGTGCGCGAAATTGCTTTTTATGGTGGCAGAGCCAATGCGCATGATGATGGATAAACAAGCCGCAATTCGACAGTTGGAATCTGAGGACAGCATGGCAAGCGCAAAATACGTGGACATACGGATTACATTCATTCGGGACTTACGCCATCAAGGATATTGTCAAGCCAGAATACGTAAATCCCGTCTGATGAAGGCTGAACTACTGACCAATGCACTTTCAGCGCCGAAAATGACAGATATGTGCGATATCTATGGATTGCGCTAATTCTTGGGTTGTTTGGTCGAGTGGTGCGTCGACCAAGGAGGAGTGTTGGTTTTGGATGCACCGTTACAAAATGTTGGTTTTGGATGCACCTTTACAAACCCGTCATCGGTCTTTTGGTCATGGTTGGACCGTTACGAAACCGATATCGGTCGATCACTCTCCAATTTGGATAGTTACGTTTAGCAGTGCTGGTTGTGAGAGCACAAAGTACCACGGCAGGGTTTGCTCAATATATCACTTCTACGTTCTCCTTATTCTATCTCTTGTGTCGAAAAAGCCGCTGCTTTGGAAGCTCCTGTACGACGCTGTCAATGTCGGATTTGCCAATAGATAGACCACAATGCCCGAAACTGTCGTCGTCAAGAACCTTCATTGTCTTTATTAGCACCAACAGCAGCAAAATCAGCAGTATCAGCAGCAACATCAGCAGATGTTGAAGCACTAGATTTGGAACTCCAAAATGAATAAAAACTGTGTCGTTATAGGTATTTGTTTGTACATTTAAACAAATGTTCCCATTTGGCATTGTGACCAATCAAATGTCGTTAAAAATTGAGAAGGTGAACAAGAAAAAAAGGGACATGTAACGCTCCCCTTTATCTAACACAAATTTTATAAAACAAAGCTGTTTGTAAGACTAGAGTTTCTGGGTCTTTGACCATTTGGATTCTGAACAACTAAGCTTATAGCCTGTTAAACAAGTAGTTTCTTCTAGTTCTTCACAACCAAGTAGACTTTTTAGTCGTTGTATAAGTTCTATTTATATAAGTAAGTGGCTTCAAGCCAGAGAGTCTTCCTTTGACTTGGGCGCTGTGTAGCTCCGCTACACTTTTGGCTGAAAGCCACTTAGTTCTACGTAACTTATTACAACAACTAAAGAAGTCTCACCCTGTATAAGGAACAAGGGAGAGCTTTTTAGAGTTAATAAGCTAAAAAACTTAATAGTTCAAAGAACTAATGCACAAAATGCTTCAGACGATCAAGCCCTGACCCGCTTCTAAATCCAAGATCTAGAAAATTAGAATATGCGTTCTATATCTGGTCTAGCGTTATACAAAATATAGAAACGTTTTTAAACGTAATAGCAAAAGCTAGTATCGGATTCAAAATACCGTTTCTATCAGCCCACTTACCGTTCCTCTTGACCTACCTTATACCGACCTTATACCGGTAGTTAGGATCCGTCAGGAAACAAAGGACTTAAAGCAGCAATAAGTACGACGATGCAGGACGCCAAGCCACCGTCGATCTCTACGTCACAACGTACAGCTTCTCCTCAAGTCTCTTCTCGTAAAAAAGAGACACGTAAGACGCCACATGTGGCTTTAGGTGGTACGAGTGTAAGTATGAGCAAAAAAGGAACAGACGGCGGATTGGACGTGCTTGGAGGCGGTGGGGGACTCTCTAGTGGTGACCTCTTTGCACGTAATTTATCAGCCATGAGTGTGGCCCACGTAGCTAGGGGTGTGGGTTTCGACGCGGTTGAAAAGTCGGCATTGGATGCATTGACTGAAATTTTAGCAAAATGTACGGTATTATTGCAATTATTTTAGGTAGAGTGTACCAATAGTATGGGTAGAGTATACCAATAGTATGGGTAGAGTATACCAATACATTAGTATAGAGGGTACAATCGACTGACTCTTGGGCTGTTCCTGTAGATATTCAGCGCATTGGAGGAGCTGCCAAGGATATTGCCGAGCTTGCAGGACGGACTCAGCCTAAAGCAACAGATGTTGGACAAGCTTTACAAGACTTGGAGCCAAATCCCGTGGATATTAAAGACCTCATCAAGACTCTTGGGACTGCGAAACGGCCTTTTCCAAGAGATGTACCAGCTTTTCCAGCTCGAAAACGAGATATTGCTGGCAATACAATTGAACAAACCAAGATTGGACGACGAGAAGGACTGCCACTACATGTACCAAGCTTTTTGCCACCATTGCCCAATCGTCATACATATAGTTCAGATAGTCGACTGGTGGTGGAGAGAGAGCAGGATACGAAACGTCAAAGACTCGAGCTGATCAGTGAAAAGGCTCAAGTGCGGCAATCGCTGCACGGTCTGCAGACTGTGACTGCCAGTGCGTCACTACTTGCTATCATCATTTTTTGTTCATGGTGAAGTGAGATTGAATACTCATGAGTGTAGTGTGATGACACTTTGATAGAAAAACCTGCAATTATGGTGCATCAGCCGACATGGAATGCTTTTCAAGGCTCTACGGGTGACAATGCCACGGAAAATCCGTTTGTGCAAGCACCTGTCATCAGTCCTGGTGCCAAGGTATGACTTTGTTCCAGCTTGTTCTTTTCTTAGTTGAGGTCTAACGTGACCGGGGTATTCTTGCTGTGTTCATGGTGAAAGTCTATCTTTACTGGACCTGATCGCGATTTTGCACCAAATGTTGACAGGGAGAAGGGGCAGTTGAAGAACCAACTGGACAACAATGTGACCATTCCAAAGTTATCTAGGTAGGTTCATGTTGTTGTTGATATGGTTGGTAAGGCAAAGCACAAGGTATTGATGTTTTCTTTCTTTTTGATTGTTTCCAGCCAAGATGTAGGCAAGGAAGAGAAAATCCTATCGGGTACTTTCCACGACGGTGACTCGGAGTAACATCCCTGAGGAATGCTTTGTCTTTTTCCAGTGACGCCAGTGGGCAGCTCGTTTAATTCTGCAAGTTCTGAGCTCTCACACAAGACACATGGGTTGGCTAAGCGAGCACCACAATACTGGAATACTCTGGAGATGTACGATGCTATATTGTTGTGGAGTCTGCTGTTCCTGCTTTTCGTGCGGAAACCTCCATCTCGAGCTTCGAGCAGACTGCAAGTTGTGTAATACCAGCACTTTGCCGATAAACACGGAAGTTCCTGATCAAATAAAGAAAGCAACAAAAGTGTGAGTGGTACGTTAGTTATTTCTCAATCTTCGACGCAGCTACAGGTATCCAACAAGTACTCATTAACACGACACAACATTCTAGCATCCACCTAAGTGTCCTGCTCTTCCTGCTCTTGACGCGGCTAGACAGAAGGAGTTTAGATGGGTAAGTGCGTCACATCGATGCTTTTTCGCTCTGGAGTCTCTGGTTCATGTTTTTTTGGGATAGGCGAGTCACATAGCACGTAGTATCCCTTTTCAAACCGGAGACCATGTTTCGAGTAAACTTCTGTCCTGAACTGTCGTAATGTTTCCTAGTGAGAAGATGTCGGATACGTGGCGCGGTATCAGGTCCGTAATTGTTTGCCTTCCAAGTAGAGCGCTGGACATTGCTTGGGACAAGGTTCATCTTCACGTCAGCTTCATCATCATACCACCATTTGATTATGTCGCCTCATTCTTAGAACGAACACCGGCCACCTCGTCGCAATGGTGATGCAGAATACTCCTGCGCGAGGTCGCGCACTTGGATGAGCTTGCAACACTTACTGCGCTTTCTTGCCGACTTGGCCGCGAGCACGAGAGTCTCCTTGATAGCCGGCGGTATGTCCTCCAGATAAATGCTTACAAACGCTTACCCAGGCTGATGACTCCTTTAATATCTTGTTGAACCTCTGTCGGAGAATCTGGTACGTCACTGCTAATACTTCGTGCTCAACACCAGCACAGTACAGCAACATACAGACTTAGAATTGCCGAGGTGATTGCTTCACGAAAAGACACTCGCTGGTACTTGGCTAATAAACATTGAAACACCTTAGGCAGATCGTAGAAAGATGCAGATAGCATGAGTTAGAACGAGCACCATCATCTCATTTACCTCACCCCACTCGAGTGTCCAATCAACTCTTTGTGCTTGCCATGGATTGCTGTAACACACAACATCCCCAATATCAGTGCGGTCTATTGAATGGCCTTATACCTTGGAAGTGTCCTCATAGATGGGCAAACAAGGTCTAGTCTCGTCATCCCGCCAGCTTCACAATGCGGTTTCTGTCAACGATTGTTCCGTCTCTGCTGTAGGGGAAGTCGCAGGTGTCGCTCTGCTAGCCAATGTTTTCGATCGACGCTGATAGAATAGCATATACGCTTCGCATTGCAATACCTGCTCGAAAGACACACGCTTGACGACGGTGTCCGAGACATAGTACCACGTTCGTGGTGAATCCTCCTTGTTTCTCGGTGTTGTAACCACAGGGGCAGCTCCACCTCCGTCTGAAGCGAGGTGGCTGCGCGCACGAGCTGCCGAGAGAGCTTCGCGTCGACGCGACCGGCTAACGTACGCAACGTAGTGGCCAGAGCGCCTGTTGCCCATATGCACAACGACTGCGATAAGCTCGTAAGAAAGCGAATGCTTCCTTGCGTCACCACCGCCTTGGCGGAGTGTCTCGCTCACGTAAGGGGTCATATCCAGCCTTTCGGCGAAAACGATGTGTTGTGTAATCTTTCGGGAACGTGCTAGACGCTTGATATGCACCACAAGAATACGGGGCATCGCCGACACAAACAGCTGCATGGACGCATCGCGCAACACAATCTCCATATCCGGTTGAGCGTTTGGTCCCAGGCGTTTCTTGCGTATAAATCGACCTGCCGCACTGCGTACCTTCGGTTGACGCGAGCACTTATCGCAGTCGTAGCCATTATTGGCTTCTACAAGCAATTGAGTCTCGGCTATAAAATTATCAAGGCAATCCGTAATCGTTAGTTCCTGGTGGCGCCCATCCGGGACGGACACGCTTAGGTGAAATGCATCCTCGACGATTTCCGTTCGCTTGTCACAAGCTTTGCACGTCACAGCCGTCGTAAGTGCACCCCCAAACAAATTGCGTGTAAAATTTAGCCTCGAATATATCTTCCTCTTCTCAGCTCTTGCGTGAAGCACAGCTGACGATCGCGATGAAAGCGTAGCGCGTGTTTCTTCCTTGGAGGCATTCAGTACCATATCTTCTTCGTTAAGATTCAGCCGCTTAGCTAACAGATACTGAACCTCTTTCACCGTTGCGCTTTTGGGCACCTGCATCGAGATCGTCTCACCAGTCTCTGTTTTTACAAAGATCTGTTTCTCGTCCTCGTGCTCTGAGTTATCAGCGTCGCTCTCACAACCGTCCTCCTCTGTTTCCTGATCGCCCATTTCTGTCAGCTCCACTTCCATCGCATCCTCTTCAGGCCATGTTCCTTTTCCACGAGAAAAATCATCTCCATCATCGAACGGAAGTTCCGATGAGTTTGCAGTACTGCAACTACTGTTTGTAACGCTGATAGAAGGAGCATGCTCTGCAGCGGCCTCACAAGATTCATCAGTAACAGGCAACGGAGGATCCATCTCTTCGTCAACAGCCCAAAGAAAACTAATGAATACTTCGTGTGCATCTTGCTGATAATGTCCACGGAACTGCAAAAATTTCTTCCGCATCTCCTTGAGCAGTGGTGCCACAGTCAACACTGAAGACGAGCTCGAGCGCGAACGACCACTTTTGCCTTTTGACTGTCGGTCCAAAGAGGCCCCTCCAGCAAGTGCTTTCCGTGAGCGCTTTTTCACTGTTTCGTGTAGCATCCTATGTCAATGCAGCAGCACAATCCATTAGAGTGGGTCATATCTCGCTTACCCCTATAGGTCAACGTACGTAAAGGTAGTGGTGATCGGCGTATTTGTTGTCTCCAACACCTCCTCAATATGTGTATGTTCAGGAAAGTAGTACGTTGCTGTCAGCAGTGCCTGCATACATGCATTAAAGTAGCACGTGTTGCCAAGATTTGTAAAGCCCAGCACCATGGTCGGTAACTCGTCTTTATCTACACGATCCAAGCTGCTTGTCGGGATGTTAATGTCCAGTGAAGGTTGCGTCTTCTTGAGAATACGTCGTCGCATTTTATCTTCCCCCGCTTTTGTACGAAGTGGCATATTGAGCAACGCAACTTCATTTGCTTGTCGAATAGAAGGTCCACCTATTTCTCCATTCAGCTCTTTTATCTTTCTCTCCACTGTTACAACACTTTTAGGAACCGGCAACATCTCTGCATCTGCATTTAAATCCAGCAAATTTATAGCTGATCCACTGGGTGTTGAAATTGGTGACATGGAAGTCTGAACACCATTTGAAAGAGGTCTTTGATTCCGAAGTTGCCGTCGTTTCTTGGCTGCAATTTCTTCCACTGCATTACCAAAATCTTGTCGTGCTTTTTCCACTTTAGGCCGAACATCAATAGGAATGTCCATGTGACAAGGTTCACACCAAAAAGTCTTGGAAACCAATTGAAAGCCCACAAAATGCTTGGAATGAGTCTGAAGATGAAGACTAAAGTGTCCATCATGAAAGCACCCAATAAAAGCACAACTAACACACACAATTAAATTGGTGTTTTGATCATAGATTTCCCAACTTTGTAAAGCTGTAGCCATGTCAGAATCGGCAGATATGGAAGTGATTGGACAAAACTAAGGAAAAAAGGATAAGAATATATAAAGTACGGTACTTTATTAGACCATAGAAAGAAAGAGACAGAGAGAGAGAGATGCACGTACCTCACATAGACAATGAGAATGCTTTTTTAGTTCACGACGGAAATCACTTAGACGTACAGCTTGACCGACATGACGGCAGCTCTTGTCGCCGGCCATGCCACCACGGTACACTCGCTCTCTTACTGATGCAAAACCGCTTCGAAACCACGTATCATTCAAGTGGACCACGTAGAATGTAGTGGACCACGTAGAATGTAGTGGACCACGTAGAATATGTACGTGTTTCAGTGTAGAAATGTTTCTAAAGCCATGTGAAATATTCGGAAATCTTAATTGGAAATATTGACCCTTACGATGGCGATTTACGAATGTATCAATGTTACGATATTCCCTATATAAGAGCAATTCAAGGTCGTGAATGTGCAACCATCACGCCGTCGGTTCTTGTCACATACACATGATTGCTATTAGAGGTGGTACCCATGAGTCTGGGTTGGGTAATTGCGTTGACCCACGACTCAGACTCATTCAAATTTCATTACCCACGACTTGGACTCATACCCGCGGGTAATTACCCATGTTACCCGCGCAATAAACATGCGGACTATTAAATAATATGAAAGGGAGAAAAGCATAAAGGAAAATTGATAATAAAAGTATCCACACTCTACGTCTCCCACTTGGAAGTTCAAGCGAGCTGACAAAGGAAAAAACTAGTCCCTTGCCGACAAAATAACGTGACTCTGTGTCCTTATCCAATCCTTGAAGTACAGAAGCCTCTCCAAGCTTTTGAGGGGAAAGCGAAGTTCTGTTCTACCTGTAAGTCTTTTTACCTTGAGAGAAACCTCTCTCAAACGGAGTTGAAGACGCGGGCCAGATAAAATCTTGCCATCCTTGCAAGTGTCGGGAATTGCAGCTGATGCAGTGCTCACCACTCCAATGGCAATTAGTGTATGTGAACAGGCGAAAGAGCAAAATAATTTTGAGCTATTTTCCTCGACTTTGCTCACTGCGGTCTTAGAACTCTGCCTTCAACAAATGCGAAGACGTCTGGCTCCATGTCGTCATCGCTCATGCGTTACTAATGTTGACAGGTGGCGGATGCGGTTTTTTTTCTAATGACTTCTGATGACTGTATGCTGCATCCACAAAAAGCAACTCAATATGCTTGTGGGCTATGGCCAAGAGCCCAAAATTGCTTTGGCCCTTCGTCGAGGTTTTTGAACCAGCTGATATTCCATCTTGGATCTAACACCGTTGCAAAGAAGTTTGCATCCTGTTTAAACGCCAGCTTGATATATATTTCTTGAGTTTGCTTAGCATGGCATGCGCCACCGGCTCCAGTTGCTTTGCATCATATGTGCGGTAGACTTTCACCAAAAAGGCGTAATGAGTCACCAATACATTTAACAATTATATAAATAATACGAGCAGGTGTGTCTGATGTATGCCTTATAAATTTGGTACATTTACCCATGGGTACCCATGGGTAAGGTGGTTAATTAAAGCCAATTACCCATACCCAACCCATGAGTCTGGGTATGGGTAATTACCCACTGAGTCTGAGTCTGGGTACCACCTCTAATTGCTATCGTGTGACTAGCCACCACTTGTTATGTACGTAAAAAAGGACGTGACACAGGCCGAAGGAAGGCGAATTCAGGCCGAAGGAAGGCGAATTCAGGCCGAAGGAAGGCGAATTCAGGCCGAAGGAAGGCGAATTCAGGCCGAAGGAAGGCGAATTCAGGCCGCTTCGAAGCGGCATATAAACAATACTGAGATGTGCATATACTTCTTTTTTGTTGTCGATTCGTCCGTCGTGGATGTTGTGTCGTGACCATCCTGGGATAGTACGTCACAACAAAGTATCGATCTTGCATGGTTTAATTAAAATAATCCAAATAGCTACGACTCTCCATTGTTTTTTTATTAATGCGCTCGTTTTGGGCATTAATAAAAAAACATTTAACAGAAGAAAAATGCCCATGAAGCGTGAGTGCTCATTGTCAATGTCTCGATCTCCTAGTATTGGTTCGCCCCAACTCGACCACTTTGCAACTCATGGCTGGGTCTACGTCCAAAACGTCTTGTCGCCCTCCGAGTTGCGCGTGCTGCAGACTGAAAGCAGTGCCCTCTATTCTTGTCAGTCCGCTGAGTCTATCGTTGCCCAGGGTTGTGTCGTCGACGTCCTCGCACAATGTCCGGTGCGTTTCTATCTTCGTCTGTCCATTAGTTTTTGCTACGTCAAAGTGGTGTGAATTCTCCACTAACTAAAAATTAAAAACTATCAACAGATGAGAGATTCTGATAGAGCACGAATCGAATCCAACTGCTACTTGGAAGCTCGATCGAAGAACAAAAGCGTCGCGGACCAACGAGTGTTTGGCTCGTTGCTGTTCGAGAAACTGCCGACGATTGCAGGAAAAATGCTGGCAGCTTTTGACAAGTCCGAGGTGGCGACGGACATGTTCTTTTTTAATGAACACTATGTTATAAAGCCTCCAAAGAGCCACGTGGAATTTCGTTGGCATCGAGACGACGACGAACAACTTGCCATGTGTGTACATCGAGAGTCTATCCACACCTATGTATCGGTGTGGTGTGCTTTAGACGATGTAACGACAGTCAATGGTCCACTTCGGTTCGTGTCGCTGAATGTGTTGCCGGAATCGGATAAGGACAATGTTGAAAGCCGAAAGCTTCATGCGAGTGGTCCAGTGACTGCTGCAGCTGGGGACGTGGTGTTCTTTCTGTCGAACGTGTGGCATTGCTCATCAAGTAACGAGTCAAACAGTTTTCGTCGTGCTTTCTACGCCCAGTACTCAAGAGACACGATCACGTCTCGACCAAAGGACCCATCGCCACTGAGTTTTGCCATCCCGTGCATAACGGCGAGTGCTGCTTCGGCCATAAATGGATTCACTGAAGGAAGCGCCACAAAGTCTAAGCATTTAAAGCTGTAATCCTAAATCTATAGACCATGATAGTCGCATTGGTATTGCACTAAGAAGTGGTTTTTACGAGACATTTTGGAAATATCTTTGACGTCTAGCAGACACTATGGGACATTATGAGACACGGCAGTATCGGTCATCCACATTTGGATGGACAGGAGACGCTGGCGTGGGCTAACAGAGCTTCGATTACGGGTGACCTGTCGTCAACTGTCGATTTGAACTGGGGTCTAGGTGAACGCCCGTTGCTTCAGCTCCATCAAATGCTTACTTTCTCTTCGTGTTGTTGTAATGTCGGGCGCGGGACCATTAGTACAGAGAAGAAAGTACAAGTACAGTATACGCACTCATCTGTCGCTATGATGATAAACAAATGGACGGCCTTGATCCGAGCCGGACGAGTGAGACCGACTCTTGTCAATGTCAATGAGCTTTGCACGTTCATAGTCAATAGACAGATCGCTGAAGAATAGCGACGCATTCCACATCCGTAAGAGCTGTCTCACCAAGCAACGAGTTGCATTCACATCCGTGATGGATGCCAAAGAGATGGCGATTTCTATAACATTTTGCAGAGCTACTGCTGTGGTCCGATTATATCACTCGATCTCGACAGACGTCTCTTGGCGCTGAGATGTTCCCGACAACTGTCAACACCTGCACTGGCTTCCATTTACATGTAGCCCAAGCAGCATTCTAAGACTTACGTGTAAATACTTTTATGTTGAGGCGAGTGTGGATTCGCTTTCAGATGTAATCACTCAGCAGTGAAGTATATATAGTGACGAACAAGACAAATTGCCACCAAGTCAACCCCCGACGCACACGACTGTCGTACATTGAAACCAAAATCCAGTCATCTCATCGAGCAAGGTATCCTATAAAACCCCATCAAACGGGTCGTTGCCACGCGCTTTTTTGTATGCCATAAGTTGTCAGTCTGCGACAAACACACCAATTCAGTGATATACAAATATAATCGAGAAAAGCGATCTTTATGCAACAAATGCAGCAGGAAGTACCTTTTGCTGCTTAGGCTTTCACTGTAATCAGGTGAATCAACTTACGCAAAAAGTAACACTAGCGTGTTTACATGACTTGCGCTCACAGCGGAGACTTTGAACAGACGGGACACACGGTCATGTTTTTTTTAATTTTATTTTATCAATAATCTTCCCGCTGCTATCGTTCCATCTGATTGGTTCAAAGATGATTAATCAGCTGAGCCAGTTCCAATAGCCCATCCTGTCGTTACAATGAAGGATTGGCATCCCATTCCTTGCATAAAAATAGTCACAACAATTCCCATCACGCGTGTCTCGAGGAGGTACGGAAGGAAAGATACAGAACATTTTACAGTCCATGTACAGAGACTGTCATCGCTGCATAATCCACCCTCGAAACGTCTTTTGTACATGGTGTATGCGCAGAAAGCAGGCCGATCGCAAAGTCTATCGCCTGGGCCAGGACTCCAAGTTATATTGGTGTTTCGATCAACGCCCTCGTCTCAATTCGGGTCCCGCCTCAAAGGCAGGGGTGACATCTCTACAATGAGCTTGAAATCAATACAATCGACACTCTCCACCACCATCTCATCCACCCCCTCTCTCCTGACAACACTTTCAATCACTCCACAACTCGCGACCAGAAGCTCAAGCCCAAAACAGTTCGTAATGATGATGCACACCAGCGCACCGCACTACACCCCGTCGCACTACAATCTGCCATCTTCACAAACCGAGACCATCTCCATCTCCATTGGTCTGGGTAATGACCGCTCTTCCTCGATTGTGCTACCGCGGGGCCACGACCTGGTCAAGCACCTGGAACGGCTAATCCCGACCATGCCGCAACCTCAGACGCAGCAGCTTATGTACACGCACCAACCCGAGGGGGAGGACGCCACTGTGGCCGCTGCACGCTTCGATGCTGTGCGTGCACTCTCCTCTCTACCCTACCAGCAGTCGCCGCAGCACCAGACACAAGCCCCTACCTCTACCTGGTCACAGTACATGCACCCCAACTCGCACTTGGATACGTCTACGGTGCAGGTGCCAAGCCCCTCTACAAGCTTGACAAGCTCTCCACTCTACCACTCGGATCAATCGAGCACTGGCAGTGCCCGTGTCTACCATCACACACAGAAACACTTGAAGTCCGGCAGGGAGCTCAATATCTCCCGCCCACGGTATCGCCGTAATAGCAACAGTGGCAGTAGCAAACGTTGCCAGGTCGTAAACTGCGACAAGATTTCGGTGAGCCGAGGCCTATGTCGTGGCCACGGTGGCGGCCGTCGATGCCAGTACGTGGGCTGCTGCAAGGGCGCTCAGAGCCGCAGCGACTTGTGCTGGGCTCATGGCGGTGGACAGCGCTGCCACGTCAAAGGTTGTTTGCGCAGCCGCAAGTCCAAGCTCTACTGCGTAGCGCACGTGGATTGGGACAGCTCAGTGTCAGCGCCTCCTGCTCCGACTTATCCTCAAGACGAGACGTTACACTCTGGCATGCAGTTATCACTTCCTAAGATCGTATCTCCTGCAAGATCTAGTGCTTTGACAAATTCTCCACGTCTTCCAAGTCTATTGCAAGCGCTGAGTACACACACACGCAGCAATTTCACTGTGCCGCAATAAGTCACGGAGATACTGTAGATGAAGTAGAAATCGCATTTTTGGCCTAGTGCCGAAACGTCAAATTAATATAAAGCACATAGCCAGTTTCATGTGTTCCTTTCAAATGGGTTCTCATGACCTATGATCGATTGTTGAGTCAGTCATGGCTGAGAGTAATCCTTCCTCCAATAACTTATGCCTATGATAATGTATAAAGTTTCTCGTCCATGGAGCTCGCTCTTTTGACTTCAATTTGTATCGACATTAAGATATAAGAGTCAATTGCGCATTGCAACACCATCCGATACAGATGAAAAGAAGCCCATAGACGATGCAACAGCAGGTAACATTCTACTTCAATTCACCGACGTGATGATGTAATCACATGTTAGCGAACTTCAAGGTTGCATACCACAAACAAGTATAATTAGATGCTATAGATACATTTTATAAATAACAGGCTGGTTAAATATAAATATACTAGCACGTCGCAGATTGCAATCTGCAATCTTCGTCGACAGCGTCATTATTGCATTTGCCTACCTCTGACCATCACTCTTCACCGACGTTTGTTCTCACTTCAAAGTCGTCGTCACTTTTGAATTTGCCGACTTCCACACACATTAATCCCATAAAACATCCAATATGGCTGAAGCACATCAGGCTATCGGAGTTTTTGGCGAGCACAAGCGTGGCATGGAATTGCTTTACTCAGACGAAGGTATTCGTGTATCTTTTACAATCCCACCCCCACACGCGATTCGACGTTCGGTCGTCCGGGAATGTTTCCATCTTCAACGAGCTCTTCAACGTGGTGTCTATCCCGCTCCACCATTTGTAGCCATTTTGACCGTTATCGCGGTCTCAGTAATTGTTGTGTTATCACCAACGGACTCGTGGTGGCGGAATGGGTCCATTTCGGTGGTCGTGTGGCAAATTGGAAACGTTTTAGTGCCGTACTCTCACTTATTGCCCAATTCAATTTACGTGGCGTACTTAGCAGCATGGACAGCCTTCCTTGGCTTACTTGGGCTCATGGCAGTCCAGAGACTATTCCTCAGACTGTTATTAAGCTACAGGGGCTGGCTATATCTCGCTCCAAAGGAAAAAAGGTCTATTGTGATCATCTGGGCAGCATTATTGAAGATTTTTGGTGGTCGGAACCCTTTGACGTACTCGTTTCAAGATGCATTACCGAGATTACCATTACCATCATTGAAAGATACCGTGAAGAGATATCTTAAGTCTGTACATCCACTGCTTACTTCGAAAGAGTATGAAGAAGTCGAGCACATGGCTAATGAATTTGTGCACAAGGAAGGCCCAAAATTTCAGTTTTATTTGTATTTAAAGAGCTGGTGGTCATCGAATTACGTGACGGACTGGTGGGAGAAGTACGTATATCTAAAAGGCCGTTCGTCACTTATGATCAATAGTAATTACTATGCACTACCAGGTGCGAATCTCAATTTTACACTGACCACGAAACCTTTGGCATTGGCTGCTACACTTGTGCACGAGTTTTTGCTCTTTAAACAAGATCTGGACAGAGAACATTTAGCACCGCAGCTTATTCGGGGCATTGTCCCGCTCTGTATGAGTCAGTACCAACGGATCTTCTCGTGTACTCGCATCCCCGGACGTGAGATAGATACAATCAAGCTGTACCACCACAAATCTAAACACATTGCTGTGTTCTGCCATGGTCGTGTGTTTAAGATGCCTTTATTTGAAAAGGGTCAATATGGCAAATTGCTTTCAAAGTTTGAAATCCAACGCCAGTTTGAGTGGATTGAAACGATGGCTTTGTCGATGGATGCATCGACGAAGGCAGAAGAGAATCTCGCTGCACTGACTGCAGCTGGTCGTATTGAGTGGGCGGAAAATCGTGAGCAATTTTTGTCGAGTGGTATCAACAAGCGCTCGCTGGAGGCTATTGAGTCGGCAGTGTTTGTGGTGGTTCTTCAAAATGAGATGGCTGAGGATTGGACGTTGATGGGGAAAGATCTAATTCACGGTAGTGGTGGCAACCGCTGGTTTGACAAGTCGTTTAACCTTGTGATTTACAAAAACAGTGTTGCTGGAATTAATGCAGAGCATGCATGGGCTGATGCGCCGGTGATGGCTCATGCGTGGGAGCAAGTGTACACTAAGCAGTGCTACACTATGCCATATGATAAGAATGGAGACACTCGAGTGCTATCAGAAAAAGAACGTGCGTCTAAACTACCACCCTGTAGATTGCTGCAGTGGAACTTTTCGTCAGGCCTTGACCAAGCTGTGTTGAAATCTCTAGAAGATGCTGGGAAGGCCATTAGTGACTTTGATTTGAAAGTGATTTCGCACACGGAATATGGCAAAGGACTCATCAAGAAGTTTCGTGTGAGCCCTGATGCGTTCATTCAGATGGCGTTGCAGCTCGCGTACTATCGCAACTCAGGCACCATTACGCAGACGTACGAGTCTAGCATGACTCGACTGTACCGAAACGGTCGTACGGAAACAGTCCGGCCAGTGACGAATGAGTCGAAAGCATTTGTTCTTGGTATGGTGGATTCCAAGCTGTCGGACGGTGAGAAACTCAAGCTGCTCCAACGTGCTTGTGACGTGCACCAGGACAATTACCGTAATGCTATGAGTGGTAAAGGGATTGACCGTCACCTCTTTACGCTTTACTGCGTCTCTGTCGGTTTCGGCATTGAGTCTCCATTCCTGAACAATGCGCTCAGCCGTCCGTGGCGTTTGTCGACAAGCCAGCAGCCTCAGCAACAGACGGAAAATTGGCATTTGGTTGAGAAAGCTCTGGAAGGATCTAAATTTTCTATTGAGGATGCACGCTGTCCTGGTGGTGGCTTTGGCCCTGTAGCGGAAGACGGCTACGGTGTCAGCTACATGATTGCAGGAGAAAACATGCTTGGCTTTCACATTTCCAGCAAGAAGGCGTGCCCGTCCACAAGCTCGGACAAGTTTGCTGATGATATTGAACAGGCACTAGCCGATTTAAAGTTGTTGTGGCACCCGAAAGAGTAAAAGGCTGCCGGTAAGTTGTAAGATCATGCTTTAAAGAATAGAATATGTATATATTCTTACCAAAATTGCACGCACAAGTTTCTAAACTCTTCTTCACCCCGCCTTAAGCTCTTCCTCATATAATGATTCGAAACGTCGCCACGTCAGAAATCTTCTTCCGTTATTAGGTATCCCTTTTGCTCATCTCGTATCTAATTTTTTGTATTCCCTATATAAACTTCAAGTCGCCCTCCCATCTGACGACATATAAAAAAAACGAAGAATAAGATCCTGCGACAAGAAAAAGAAGGACAGCGATCATCGACATCACATTTGACTTTCTTCCACTTCATACGCACATCACTTTCTTCTCGAGACCAAAAATAATAATTACCTAAAAAAGAAGAACAAGGAGACATTAAAAAGAGAATGCCAGTGAAAGACTGTAATAATGAAAAGTACAGATCGGTCCAAGACAATAAAGCTTTGTCCAAGCAGAAATGTCCCAACATGCAGCATTTCCATCATATCCTGACTACATTATCTGATTCTGAAAATGACGAAACCGAAGAAGAGGATGTACTTTTCAATAGTGACAATGATGTCGAATGTTTTGTGGATTTTAACGCTATTAAAGCAAGATTGGGTGGTTCTGCCAAGACGCATCGTCGTTCCGTTGTGTCATCTTTTGTATCACCACCTACGGAGCAATGGACACCTCCTATGGTCCCAAAAAGTTCACATGATGCCGAATCCATTCAACGTTCCGTGAGACGTAATTTACTGTTTGCAAATATACCACAAGACACATTACAAGTGTTGGTAAATGCTATGAAATACATTGCAGTTGATGCAGGGAAAAATCTTGTAACACAAGGAGAAATTGGAGGAGATAAGTTTTTTATCGTTGATACTGGTGTCTGTGACGTACTCGTTAATGACAAAATAGTCGGGGAAGTCTGTGCAACGTCGACTCGTAACTTTTTCGGTGAATTGGCATTATTGTACGACTCACCACGAGCTGCTACAGTACGTGCCAAAACACTAGTGGAATGCTGGACATTGGATCGAGTCACGTATAAGCGAGTGCTTATGGCGACCACAATGCAGCAACGAGCTTTGTATCTCGATTTTCTAGGGCAAGTTCCAATTTTTTCGACCTTGTCGAGTTATGAGAAGATGACAGTGGCAGACGCTTTACGCGTACAGTTTGTAGAGTCTGGAGATACGATCTTGACAGAGGGGTCTCGAGGTGATGATTTCTATATTATTGAAAACGGTGAAGTCAAGTGTACACGTGGAGGAAACGAAGTGTCAGCTCGACTTGGAGCTGGAGATTTCTTTGGTGAGCTTGCACTCATTCACGATGATGTGCGACAAGCTACTGTCACTGCTATACGCAAGACGAAGCTGCTTGTACTGGACCGAGCCACGTTTAGTCGCCTACTAGGTCCAATGCAGGAACACCTGCGCAAACGTGCCGATCTCTACGAGCTTTACATGAACGGACCAAGAATCACGCAACAGAACTAATTCACCATAGCCCAGTTACAACCACGAACGGGAGTAGATATTGAAGATATTCCCATGGAAACTTGCAAAAATATCGAGCGGCCAGGTAAGTCTTTACGCAAAGCCATCGGAAGCTTTTTACTGATTAATAAACTGCATGTTAACCAAATCACCTCCTTTGGTATATGAATAATGCTGATGCCATGAGTCTAAACGCAGCAGAACTTATCACTTTTACCTTGCAGAGGTCCTTTGACTGAAGGAATGAGACTATATGAAATAATTGCTTGGAATTGGCCCAACTCAAAGGCCAAAAGAATCTGATGTTGATTGCTTGCATGGGGTAATGAAACGTCTCACCACAATAGTTTGCCAGGCAGGTACTTGTCAATAATTGCTTGGTAGTATGGCCACAGCTTCTCCACGTTTGGACGTACATCTGCTTTTGTGTACAAGTCGAATTTATTGAACTCGAGTACCCAGTCCAGTAAATCCTCGTCCTCCTCGCTCATCAAATGTGTGTACTCTTTCTTGTTGTGCCATGGGTAGCACGAGTGGTAGCGGATCATAGCAAGTCCTTCTTCCGGGATAGTAGTCTTGTTAAACTTAAGCATCTGATACAGGTACTCGTCATGACCCCATGCAAACTTGAGATTCGTAAAACCACAGTGAGGCTCATACATGCCATACTTTGTATTGTAGCGTGGATCGCTCATGTCGGGATTGGTGGCATTGCATTCTGGAAAGACAACAGAGTCAGGAATCTTACACCCTACGACCCACGTGTCTCCACCAAGTGCCCACTGGTCTCCATTAGCCGTACCCTCCTGCCCGTCCTCAGCATCCCCCCAGAGATACTGAATCTTGCCCATGTCATGCAACAATCCGACAAGTTGAAACCAGTCAGGGTGACCGGCAGCACGGATGCCCTCGGCCGTTTGTAGCATATGCTCGAGATTGGGCAGTGACGAGTCCGGATCAGATGAATCGACGTACCCCATTAAGGCCGTAAAGGCTTCTCGAATAGTCATTTTGATATTGGCAAAGGAGCCGTATTTGGCTTGCATCTTTTCCTGAAAGACTACGGTCTGGTTCTTGCGCATAAGCGCATAGTGGCGCGACACGAGCGCATGTCGATCCGAGTCTTCGTAATTGCGAAATTCCTCTTCGGCTTTACCGGCAGTGACCTTCGTAGTGATGTCACACTCAGGTTTAGTCGGTACGACGACATTGTCTTCAGTCATAGCAATAGTAGCGATGATACTGAGAGGCAGGAAGAAGAGGAATGAAAAAAAAAGAATGGAGGAGCTCAACTGGAAAAAAAACAAAGCTGTAAGGAACAAACTCGAGGAGGTATTCAACAATGAGTGAAGTGGCTTGTAGTTATTTGTTTTGTCATGCATGTCGGTCTGTCGACTTGAATGACGAGATTGTGTTCTGAGTTAGCAATACTAATGCCATTAAAGGCGACCGCTGAAGGGCAGAGCACGCAAGCATTGTTTCGTGTTTTTTTGCACGTGGAATCCCGTCCTTGGGAAGGAGGACCCATTGAACTTGAACCTGCTTTGACACCATACGATCGCTTGCACATTGCCATGACTCGTCACCACATCGCAGTGGATAAATAGACTGAACTTCTTGGACTTTATATCTACAACTTAGTATTGAACAGAGTTCAATGATGTCCTTGAAACGGAATTCTAAAACCAGCTGCAGTGGGCACCAGTGAATTCTCAATCACTCAATCTCATACTTCAGATTGAATCTGGTTCTGCTCCACGCACAACAACTTTATACGTTATTGAATCACAAGATTATTGCTATGACTGAAGACAATGTCGTCGTACCGACTAAACCTGAGTGTGACATCACTACGAAGGTCACTGCCGGTAAAGCCGAAGAGGAATTTCGCAATTACGAAAACTCGGATCGACATGCGCTCGTGTCGCGCCACTATGCGCTTATGCGCAAGAACCAGACCGTAGTCTTTCAGGAAAAGATGCAAGCCAAATACGGCTCCTTTGCCAATATCAAAATGACTATTCGAGAAGCCTTTACGGCCTTAATGGGGTACGTCGATTCATCTGATCCGGACTCGTCACTGCCCAATCTCGAGCATATGCTACAAACGGCCGAGGGCATCCGTGCTGCCGGTCACCCTGACTGGTTTCAACTTGTCGGATTGTTGCATGACATGGGCAAGATTCAGTATCTCTGGGGGGATGCTGAGGACGGGCAGGAGGGTACGGCTAATGGAGACCAGTGGGCACTTGGTGGAGACACGTGGGTCGTAGGGTGCAAGATTCCTGACTCTGTTGTCTTTCCAGAATGCAATGCCACCAATCCCGACATGAGCGATCCACGCTACAATACAAAGTATGGCATGTATGAGCCTCACTGTGGTTTTACGAATCTCAAGTTTGCATGGGGTCATGACGAGTACCTGTATCAGATGCTTAAGTTTAACAAGACTACTATCCCGGAAGAAGGACTTGGTATGATCCGCTACCACTCGTGCTACCCATGGCACAACAAGAAAGAGTACACACATTTGATGAGCGAGGAGGACGAGGATTTACTGGACTGGGTACTCGAGTTCAATAAATTCGACTTGTACACAAAAGCAGATGTACGTCCAAACGTGGAGAAGCTGTGGCCATACTACCAGGCAATTATTGACAAGTACCTGCCTGGTAAACTATGCTGGTAAACGAGATACATTTTGGATTAAGAAAATCGTAGGTCTGTGCTACGTCAAAAGCATTATCTCTTGACTTAAGCTGCATAAAATCCAAGTAGATGACATAAGTATAGATGTGAACCATGAATTTTACCTGTCTTCAATGTTATTCCCAAGTCTCACTATGACAAGCCATAAACAATGGCACAACAATCAAGACTCTATGAAGGATTTCTGAGCTACTCTACTAGCTCGAATTCATCGACTTATTTGTGCTATTTTTCAGAATAGGGCACCCAGTACGTACATTGCAGCTCTTTCACGCTAGCCACCACCAGAATGTACGTACCTGTTGAAGCAATATCTTTGCAACGCACTATTCTTCTGCCTTGCACCGTTATTTTACCAGCATACAATTTATCGTGGACTTCGATGCCGTTGTACTATTGAAAGACAGTGATCAACCGTTTCAATACTAGTACGTAATGTCAACCCTGTACTGCGCAACAAGATCATTTCTCTGAGCTTGATACTAAAATTGTATAGCAAGACCATAACAAGATCTTGTGAATCAAATTCCCCCTTTGGTCCTATTTTTTGATCCTCCAACAATCTCTCCTTCGCTTTCTTTAGCTCTGCTTATTGGCAGTGGCTTCACGACGTGCTGCGTCCTGCAATAATTCCGTGTCTACTTCACCTGCAGGGATCTGGACGTAACGGATGGAACTTCCTCGAATAAAGCAGTTCTTCATATTCATCTGCATTCAAAATATCACGAATTAAAATGACGATAATATTAATGTACCTGACATTATCAAGTTCGACAATATAAATTACCAGTTGTGGAAATTTATCGCCTTCTACGACCGACACATTAAGTAATTTAATATTCAGATATTGGTCAACTGAGTCAAGGACACCCATTAGCGCCACGTCGTTCTTGAGCTCTACAGCCACTTCTTTGCCGACCAGCGTCTTGAAAAACGAGTAGAAAATCTAGATTAATGTACAGCAACAACAGGATAAGGAGACAGATATATATCCACCAAGTGATGACTTTGTACCATTTTATTCTAATTGTTTCGTAATAATGCTTGGGTTATATATTACTGAAATTAATTTAAGACCAAATTCATAACGGAACAATTTTTTTTGGCAAAATATACAAAATAATGTTTGTACCGTGTAGCCATTTTCTGAGGCAGCGTTGTAGGACGATGTTCGAGTCTCATGACGTATTTCTTGCACTTCAGTAATTTATATTCACAAAGTGTGCGCTTCTGAGACCCTTTACTCCTAGCACGACTTGGCTGCCTCTCCCTGTAAACAATCAGCTAGTCTTCACGCGTCGATATTTTGCAACTTAAAACAAGCACAACTTGACCCTACGCCCGACAATTATCCTCGACGCGTCCATGAAATTCCCTATCCCCGAAAAGATTCATTCTATCGATCCAAGCAGTGAGATCCACTGTCTTGGAGCCATAGTGTTTGTAAGCTGGACAATGATGCAGTCATGCCACACTGATGCCGTGTCCTGCCTTCCTGGTGGTTGTTTATACTGTGCCCTCCACAAATCATGACCTTCAAGCTCTTTGCGGTCACATTTCTTTACCGAATATACTGGTCATTAAGCTTGCTTATCCATCTTCGCCCGAGTTGTAGCAAACCTTGCACACACGTACGACATCGTAGTATCCAAAATCGGGAAGACTCATTCGATGACTGGTACATCTGCCGCAAAAGACGTACCCGCAACAGCGGCAGTGGTGTCGGTTACGCAAAATTGTCTTGAATTTTTTTTGCAGCGCTTGCAACACGCAGCATCTTCATCGCGCTCCCACACGGGCTGCGAATTCAAGTAGTTTCCTCCCGAGATCACTTTGTCTGCTCCCAGTAATGGTGAACTTCCAGGTGTAAAATTGCGAGAATCTCCGTCTAATGAGCTCGTGTCAGCCAACTCACCACCGCCTTCGGCTGAGATAGATGTTGAACTCGAGCCTAGTGAAGAGCAGGAAGATGGTGGCGACGACGTCCTAGGGGAATGGTGTGACTTGCCCGTTCCGTTTGATCCACCGACTCGAACCTTCCTACCACTGCTGGGAGACAATCGGTCACTCTCGTTGCGCAGCGCCGTTTCTGGAAGATTGTAGTTGTAGCAGCGAAACCGCCGCATTGTCTGCTTAGCAGCGTTCTCTTTGATCGCGACCTGGTGATGCAGCTTAGAACGCTGGGACTCGAGATGGCCGAGATCACGTTTCAGCTCCTCTCGGCGTGACGGCGAGCTAAAATGTTGATTACGCCGAGCATCGCTTACACGGATTGGGTTGGGCAGCGTTGCAGAACCTACTTCCATTGTGTCATCGATATCCTTATCATGAGACCCACCCTTCATCTGTGCGACCACACTGAAAAGAGTATTTTTGAGGCTATTACTCCGTGAACGGCTTGTAATGGACTTGCGTCGTCGTGAGTTGGGCACATTGTGCCGTTGCGATGGTGCATTTGCTGCTCCAGACAAAGTAGAACCTGAGGAGGCCTCAAGATTTGCGCGTTGTAACATTTGCGCCATAGTCATGTGCTCTCGAGAAGGAGACTGAGATGATACCGTCGCACGCCCTGCTGCTCCTGCAGTACCCATCGCTACAATACTAGCCAGATCATGGAAATCGAGAGAGGCTGCGGCAGGACGCTTTCCAAAGCTACAGAGTGTTTCCCCGCCAGACATAAATCTCTTCCTCTCCATTTCTTTTGATGATGTAGTCGGGTCGTCGGGATACTTCAAATTCATACTTCGTGATAGTTTTGCAATGTCAGATCGAAGCTGTCCTGCACGAAGCTCAAGTTGCTGATCGCTGGTTAACGCAGCGTGTAGACGCGAAAGATCGGCTTCTTGCTGTCGAATAAGCTGTAACATTTCGAACTCTCGCTGTTGTAGGCGCATGTGACCGATTGCCTTCTGATACTGGCTGACCCAGAGTTGCATGACGCGCACACGGCACACAGGTAGCATCGGCTCCATATGCGACCCGCTCCCCATCGATGCATGTGCCTCCCTACCTGCAAATAAGGGGTTTAAAAATTGGTCCGTGGTGGCACGAATAACATCCCACACGCTTACACTCGCAACAGTCGACAAGAAGTGGCGCCGCTCACATTCAGAGTTTTTTTGGAAAGTGCCATACCACGATGAGTAGACAGCTTCAGCAACGGAAGAGAGAAGCAATTCATTGAACTGGAAATGTGTCGGAAACTGAAGCGTAAGTTGATACACGGCATCGATGAACTGTAAGAAGATTGGAGACGTTTGGTCTGACGTAGGATGCGAACAGCGGCGCTGGAAATTATGGCCATAGGAGCACCAATCCTTTTCGCAGAGTTGTGCAAAGCCTTCAAGCGTCCTGTAATACGGGTCCAACATTATCTGCGCCAGAGCAGAGAGCTGTGCCGTGCGGTCCCATCCATCACTGCAGTGCACTAGAACCGCATCACCACGCTCGAGATGCGTAGCCACTTCAGTTGCTCCCTGAAGAATGCTGCAAATATGCTCCAACCAGCGGCTCTTTTGCACAGCACCAAAGAAATTCGAGTCCTCTACCTCGTACAATGCCTGCGCCAGACCAGTGAGTGAGCTGCGCACTACATGAATGTTATCAATCCCCATGAACGTGATTGCAGCCATCGGTATCCCATCTCGATCGTACTGCTTCACAGACTCGTAGCCTTTTCCAGCAAGAGCATTGCCTTTCGCATTAATCTCAGGTCGTGCGTCAACTATGTGCAAGACGCTATTCTTCTTGGGGACCACGTTTATAGATTTCGTAGCTTGATCTGCCGGAATAGCCGCATCTCGGATAGCCCAAATTAGTTTCTTGTCCTCCGGGTTTGTGCTACGCAACATACCCGTATTGGGCTGGCTGCTACGACATAATGGCGCTCCTGTGCGAGGATGGATCCAGGTGAGAGCTGGAAAACGGCTTTTGCTGCGAAAACCGGCTGCACCCTTGATGATTTCATCACTCAAGCACTCGGGGACCATGAGGAACGACGGATACGTAGGACACAACTGGTAACCTTCGTTGAGCATGCACTTGCGCCAGCGAGGATGGCTCATGGCGCCTTGTCGGGTAAACTCAGTATCCGGGTCGTATCGAATGCGTCTCCTCGCTGCGAGCTGAAAAGGTTGTGGAGGTTTTCTCATCGACATCGCATGTGTCAGCTGAGGATAAGCAGCCGACTCACTCTGTTGGTGTGCAAACTTGGGGCGTTCCATTAAACCATCACTTCCGTTAAGAATCAATTCACCGATGCTTTCTTTCGTAAACGTACACTTCTGAAACTTGCTAATATTTGTTGCAAGTGCTCGTGTCATTGGTGGTGGCATCGATAAACTGCTGTGCTTGGGCGCGTAATGAAGCAAATCGCCCTCAAGCTGCATTTCATCTACAGTAGCTACTGTATGATTGCGGTCTGTTGGGGAGCAGAAACTATTTTCAATGCGTAGCCAGTCAATCTCGCGTACGATATTGTGTAGCATTTTGACGCGTTTGAGTTCTGCTTCACGAGAAAAATCCCGTACTGAATCCCGTAACCGAGAAATCGGCGAAAGTGTCACGTGATAATGTCCAGCATCCATATTATCTAAAATAAGTACCGTGATCACGTTATTGTTGCTGCGTTTTTGCTGTTGAATGGACGCTTTCAAAATCTTGCTGACCGGCAAAGTATGAACATCCTCATGAAGTAAACCTCGTACTCTGCGATAAGGTACAAACCAAATGCGATAATTAGTCAGCACCAATGTCGCAAGCACGCCCTGATTCGATTCATTTACATGGAACGTCACAGTCACTTCCTCTACCATATGCAGAAGTTTCTCATGCCATGGAAAGAGGCAATCCTTTGGTGTTCCTGCATGCATAGCTGTTAATTCATCCTGTCGCACTGCTATATCCGGATGCCAACTTCGTGGTAAATGACAATAGGCCTGTTCAAATCTCGGGTTTTGTGGTAGGAAAACCTCTTGAATACTTGTGCCATAGGGATGGTTCACCAGGTATTTGAGGTCCCTCTCTTCATACTGTACACTACATAGAATACGTCCTTGTGCTCCTGATCCTTTGACTAATTTACACCAAATAAACACTGGTTTAATGTCCATTTCTTCCTTCACCTCAAGTTTTCCTGATATCACAAATGCACGATTTTTTGTCTCTAATTGAAAATAACGTCCACTTGAATCGAGAGACCGAGAACGTCGCTGTAAATCTGTAGCATTTGGATCTCTCTTCTTCAATAAGTTATCAACATTTTCATAATCCCGCAAATTAAAATCGCCCAATTCCACAGTATTAGACGCGTGTAATGGACGTCCATTAACACCATTCGAGTCTATCGATCGTCCATTATTACTCGATAGATCTTTTCTCTCTGTCTGTTGTCGCTTCTGATACTCATTTACAATCTCCCGCCACTCGGGAAAAGGAACACGTAAAGCACCTAATAAATCACTTTGAGATAGTTCGTCCTTGTCAAATACTTCAAGCTCAACGTCTAAGGGACCGGCATGAACGAGAGTGATGGTCACGTTAAAATCCCAGCGTGGACTGAGTGATCTCTTGACGCGATGTGAAAACGCCACTTCTTTTCCGTCGTAAAATACACGCACAAATGGATCACTCTTGCCGCTCAAGTCAGCAGAAGCAAGTGCCTCAGCGCGGATGATCGTTAGCCGCATGGAAGAGTGCGGACTGCGAGAGTGCGGACTGCGAGAGTGGGACTGCGAGGGGAGTGCGGGGTTGCACTTGGGGTTGTGTTTATAGAATGGCGACATGAACAGACGCGACGATATTTGGTTACAACGTTTTATTACACGAGCATAACCTCTTTTATTAAAATCCAAGTACTGTACATGATTAAAACGTTGTGCTGACAGTGTTTTTGCTTTGTTTTCTTACCAGCTCCACAAGTTTCCGCGAACGTTCCGGCAACTTGACATTGCGCGAATGGCGTTCAGAATAAGGGATACATTTTGCTCATTTAAGTGCTATGTCTAATATTTTCAATAGGATTACGTCCTTGGTAGTGGCATAATCCCCCCCAAAAATACCACATGGTTTATATGTTGGTGCACAAGATACTTTGGTGGTTTAGTTACATTTAACTTTCGCTCACTTACAAGCGACCACAATTAAAAAAATAAAGGAGATTCAAAGGGGATCTGACTGATGTGTATGTAAACGCGCTACGCGAGCCGTCTTGCCACCAAATGGCTCAACTTCCGCATGTGTCGGATTGTCTCTCATATAAGCGCCACGCTGAAGGCCGTCCAGGCTGCACGATCCTTTGCACACAGGCAAAGGAGGTACAGATCTGGGGCCAGTCGATGGTGGTGTCCAGTGGTAGGTTTCTTGCTTGGATCCCTTGGATGTTCATCTTGTCAACAGGTCCCACCCAGGAAGGGTCTCTCTTGTGGGGTTGCACCGAGAAGAAAAGATTATGCGAGCGTACCTAAGCGGAGATGCCGGGACTTCGGCGTGGCGGCGTACATCGTGGTACAGTGTATACTAAAGCAGTAACTGATCACACCAATGTAGACACATTAGGGCAGCTTGCGAACCTCACCATCTCAGCGAACGAGACCACAGTTTCACCGCAACTTTTTTCGAAAAGGTAACGTACTGTAGATTTTTTGATTGATGTACTACAAATGGACGGCGTCTTAACCGTCCGATTCGTAGTGAATGAGGCATTAAACAGCCCGATCCTCGTACTCATGGGCATCCGACAGGATTGCCCGTTAGCATCGCTACTTTTTCTTCTCGTGGCGGAAATACTAGCTTGCAAAGTACCTAGATACGTGGGCTGCGGCACCCCAGCATTTTCGAACCAGGATCAGAAATTCTCCGTTTTTCTCGATGTTTCGACGGTTACTTGCACCACGCGAGCAGATACCGGAGATAATGTGCATCGTGCATCGTTTTGACAATCTCTCCTGGATATTTATACAACCAGCGAAGAGCGTGTTAATCTTCCTCGATATAGCGGTCGTAATCTTCGATTATGAATGAATTCCAGTCCTCCGCCATGGTCAAACGACTAGGTATTTAAGGTATCAATAATGGATTGGGGACCTAGTTGACGCAAATTCAGGCCTGCCGCTACGAGGTGCGGATGAGATAGGGAACGTCTCCAGCGACGTCACAATATGCACATAAAAGCTTAAGCATGCGATAAAGTGGCTAACTCAAAAAAGTGATCGCTTACTTCTATGGCATGGGCGGCGTGGACAGTCCAAGATATAAGAGGTTCAGCTAATTGGAGCATGTCAGCAGTACTATCCAAAACTGGAAGAAACAGCACACTAATGGCCTTACCGCCCGAAATCAAAGCGGAGGTCAGCGAGTGGATTGCACCGAGGCAAAAAGAATGGACGATCATCAAACAACACCGTGAAGAATCTTTGAAGTGCCAGTAACACACCTCGTGGCCACCAGGTTAAATTAGGATTTTCTTCTCCAATTGTATGAAGACATTCCGACTCTTAGACACTTGTACAACCAAGAGCACAAGAATTTTGGGCGACTTACAGGTGCAATCAGGAGTTTTGGATAGTGGATGACTCCCGAAAGTGCGGGCGGATATCAAGCACGTGTTCTTAGACAACGCTGACATCATTGGCCAAGCCTGGAAAAGAATATGATGCATAGATTGCTCCGTCTGCGTCAACCACTCTCAAAATTTAGCGGAATAGGAGTAGGAGAGTGCGTCCATGGAGCAAGAGGTAGTGGAAAGTCAAACCAGGTCCTTCTTCTTGGAATCTGAGGACTTTTCCCAGAAAATTTGTAAACTATAACGGTAAATAAACAGTCACTGAAATATATTCCCACTCATAAATAAATTCTATCTTTTATTCGTAAAAAATACGCCATTAATCTTCACGGTTGATAATCTACTCTAAAATCTCCCGTAATACTCACCATGTCCGAGTTTAAACTGACCATTTGCTGCATGGGTGCCGGTTATGTTGGCGGTCCTACCATGGCTGTAATTGCCGCATCTTGTCCTGACATTAAAGTCGTCGTTGTGGACATTTCAGAGACACAAATTGCAAAATGGAATGCATCGGATGACATTCCAATTTATGAACCGGGATTAAAAGAACTTGTGGATACACAACGCAATAAGAACCTCTTTTTTTCGACAAATGTAGACAAATATATTAATGAAGCTTCGATTATCTTTGTCTGTGTCAATACACCCACAAAAACAAGTGGAATAGGAGCAGGTAGTGCTGCTGATACTAAAAATTGTGAAGCTTGTGCTCGAAAGATTGCAGACGTAGCTATGGAAAACAAAATTGTCGTGGAAAAATCGACAGTACCTGTACGTACGTCTGAAAGTATTAAAGCTGTACTATGTGCTAATTCCAAGGGACTCAAGTTTGAAGTCTTGTCGAACCCCGAGTTTTTAGCTGAAGGAACAGCTATTAAGGATTTACAGAAACCAAGTCGAATTCTTATTGGAGGAGCAGAGACTCCTGAAGGACATGCTGCTGTTGAGAAACTTGTGAGTGTTTACGCTCATTGGGTACCTCGTGATCGGATTATTACGACCAATGTCTGGTCCTCAGAGCTGTCAAAACTTGTGGCCAATGCTTTCTTAGCCCAGCGGATCTCGAGTATTAACTCGATTTCTGCCGTGTGTGAAGCAACGGGTGCCAATGTGCACGAAGTAGCACGAGCAGTTGGTGCTGATGAGCGGATTGGTGCCAAGTTCCTTAACTGCTCAGTGGGATTTGGAGGCTCATGTTTTCAAAAGGATATTTTGAACCTCGTGTACCTTGCTCAAAGTTTTCACTTGTCGGAGGTGGCTGAGTATTGGCGTCAAGTCGTGACGTTGAACGAGTACCAGAAGACACGTTTCGCTACGACAATGATCCGTCGGATGTTTAACACAGTGACGAACAAAAAGATCTGCATCTTTGGATATGCATTCAAGAAAGACACTGGTGACGTGCGTGAGACGCCTGCTGCCACAATTGTCAAGTATTTGTTGGAAGAAAAGGCCAACGTGGCAGTGTACGACCCGCAGGTCAAAATTGAGGACATGATGCACGAGCTCGAGTACCAGGGCGTGAATAGCACTAGCCATCCCATGATAGACAAGCTCCTCACGGTGTACAACGATCCGTACGAGGCTGCCAAGGATTCGCACGCCATCGCCGCGCTTACCGAGTGGGACGAGTTCAAGACACTGGATTATGCCAAGATCTATCAGCACATGGTCAAGCCCGCCTACTTCTTCGATGGCCGCAATATCCTGCCGTACGACAAGATCACCGAGTTGGGTGCCAAGATGTACGTCATCGGCCGCGCTGACGTCATCTCGGGCGACCTGCCCTTTTAGATGTCAGACGAATACCGAACAGACACCGTGTGTAAGTTTGAGTAAAGCTTTGAATGGGAGAGGTGAAGCGTCTGCTAAGTGATGTACTTGAGACAGGTTTAGTCTAATCTTGCTTGTCCTTGAGGTAGCAAGTCGGTCTCGGTTACATGTAACTGGAATACAAAAGAGTCATGCGCTTCGTTTACTTATGGACATTACTGATTATTCGATACAATACTTCATGTTTGACATGTTGATGAAGATCTACCATCGATCTACCATCGAAAAAGAAGCTACTTTGCTGCCATCCTGCGTTTGATACATGCCGTCACGGGGGACGAGGCAATTCGACGTTCGAACTCATTAGGTCGCCGTGAGCGCATTTCGCGATACTTGAGCGCCTTCTTGGCAATGAGCGCGTTGCACTCTGTACTTTCGGGACTCCTTGCGGTCTCCATGAGACGCTCTGCCTTTGCAACGACCTCACGTTGGAACTCCTCGTCCTTGAACACGACACCGTCGGAAGTTCGCACGTAGAGCTCCGTCATCGAGCAGCGTGTTTGTGAGACGACCGAAGACTGTATCGGCGACGTTTCAAGCTCCATAGCAGCTTTTGCGGATCCTTCCGAGCGCGAGCGTCGTCGAGCAAACATGCTCTTGTTGTTTGGACTCGTGCTAGTGCCGACCATTTATTATATGGCTATTCGTGTTCTGTGTCGTAGCTCGTGAATCCGATAATGATCCTATGCGGCCGCTGGACGGACGATACTGTCGGCTGCTTGAGAAAGCGTTACCTAGACGAAAGGCTGTGGAATTTTCCTTTGAATCTAGGAAAAGAGGATGGTCATTCGAGAGAACATTGACCAAAGAGCGGCTACTCAAGGTTAGAAATATTAACGAGTCGGACTTGAAGTGATCACGAGACAAATCGCCAGCGATGGCCAGTGCTGAGTTTTGGATCGCGTGGGATTGAATAGATGCGACACGTACGTCACGGAGGACGGGTGGCAATTCTTCCACAATCCACATGGCTATAGCTAGCCATGTGGTACTCAACACGTTAAGCGTAATACTCACGAGGAATGGTTTTTCGAGCATTAGAGCTGAAACTGATCTCATGGCTTCATATTGCGAGGATGACACAGCTACGACATCGCAAAGACTCAGCACATATCTTACAAGAGCTGCACGTCCTTGGAAAGTGACAGTTTCGTTGACTGATGCAACAAAAAGTAGGATACTGCTGTACCACCCTACCTGGAACGAACCGGCCGACTTAGTTGCGTCAACATCCACCGACGTGAGGCCACAAAATTTACACCTCTTGTGCCAACGTTCATGCAAGTGATTTGCATGATACGACTTTACGCACAGGAGTCATAGATAGTATAGCAGCAAATCTAGCACATATGATTCTTTGACTAGATACGGGTCGGGCGGGTACCACTACTTGCCATCTTTAGCGAATCTTCTGGCCAGCAGAGTATAAAACGTTCGCCCGAGACATATCTCGTCCTTGTCACAGAACACACGGAACTTAAAGTTGTACGCCAGAACGTAGAGTCCGCGCTTTTCCCTGTCTAACTGGTTTTTGGTTTGAAGACGACTGATTTGCCTTCCTTCAGCTCCTCAAGCTTAAAAACAGCAACAAGTCCTGCCTGCAATGTAGGAATACAAAGGATATCGTCAATGAGGGTTTTGCTGCTTTCAAGCTGGTAAGACTACACACTTATTACCCGATCAAGGATCATTTTCGTGACTTTGCCGTTGTCATCAATTGGAGGCAAACGCATCACCTCCTCGCCATTTTGGAACAAGATCAAAGTCGGTAGCTGCCATGACAACGTCGAGACACTGATACGATTCTCCACAGCCAAATCGGACCACTTGTTCACATCGATTCTGCCAAATTGCAGCGAGCGGGACGAAAATCTGCTCCATAGCATCCCGATACCACACAAGATGTGGTGTCATTTAACTGCCTCTCAAACCCTGTAAACCACCTTTACAAATAATGCCCCTCACAAACCTAAGTGACATTTCAGCAAGCATAGGCTCGATCTCCATGCAAGAGTCACTCCAGTCTGCATAGTAGAAAATCATCCATGAATTGGGCGGACCTTTTTTTGTTGAGCCAGAACTTTTCTTCACTATTTTTTCAACCAGCGCTGGGTTCAGCTCAATAATTTTGGATGGACCTTCATATTTGGGTTGCCCTACCGCTGCGAACAGTACTTTACAACAACGCAACAAAAAGGGGATTAGTAACATGCTCAATATACCGGTACAAAACAGTAGTGTATCCTTCTTTTTCACAAATTTAGACAAATAATACCGAGGCAAACAACCGCATACCACCCAAAAAGAGTAATATCCATATAGTAAAGTGACGCTAAGACCGCCAGTTTGCCACAGAGAAAGAAGATTGAAATAACACCATCTGCCGTTGCTTTTTTACGGTAATTGAGCGCCCAAGAACCCAATGCAAGCAGAAAAATCTCATATTCCTACTCAAAAAAGAAGATAACATAGAATCATAATCGGATACAATTTAACTTGAAATAATAATACACAAAATATACCAATGGTAAATTAAAATAGTTATCGCTCGATGTAAGAGCCTCACTTGATTGATGATACCGGATTGGCACATATAGAAGCAATGCCACGGCATTACAAACGTAATAAGGGGCCAGAAACCGTACCCACATACGTGTAGTCACAGGATCAGGTGTCGATACAGTGTCGGTAGCTTGGGGTGCCATGGGTTACCGTATTGATAGTGAAGGTAAAATACCGGTACTATTACCAACAATGTACCTGACGTGTGGCACACAACAATCGATTAATATGTGACGTGTGAGAATATCATAAGGCAGAAGTGCTCGATTAGTTGGACTGCAAGACTCGTGGATGACTCGAGATGGAATTCTAATGCTGCTATTGTGTCTGTACGTAGTCGAAACCTCACACATTAAACTCGGACGTCGCGTATGGCACGATTCGGTCCTGTATACTGAATACTTGATGATCAGTGTAAAAAAAAGCTCAAGGACATAGATTGTCGACTACTTTGTGTGTCTTCTAGAGAGTGCAAGAGTGCGGCATTTACGATTACTACACACAAGCGTGGTGATGGTTGATCTCTACTATTTCTTGATCGACACAATAAGACAAAAGAATGTTAAGCGAGGGAAAAGCACGACAACCCAAAGTATTCCGTGTTGTACGTCTCCACCGCAACAAGCTGCCGTTTTCCGCTTGGCATCAGCGCTACAGTAAACATGAGCACGCTAATCATGTTACTGTAAAAGGCATGGGTGTGTAGAGATTCGGACGTACTGTGCGAAATGGATTAACACGCTGTTTCGTTTCGGTGGCAATAAAGAGAAGAATCAAAGGCAAAGTCACATTTTAGCGGGAGCACCTACCAGACGAGTGTCCCTCCAATACCCGAACTCTCATTGTTCATGAAGACAACTGTGGTGACTAAAACCCGATGCACTAGCTAGGTGTTTGAAACCTCGATGGTCGATCATCGATTCAAGTTATTTATTCAGCATGATGGTGAAAAGTAATTGAACTCAACTCAGCATCTCGTACTGGTACTGGCGTCGAAGCCGCGCATGATGCAGTGTAATACTGTAACGTTGACGCAAAGCTTCCATCAAACACAACACCAACAATGCATAGGCCGGATAAAACTTATGACGCTCGAATTGAGCCAATTGATCTCCACTAAAAATCATCACAAAGAGAAAGAAACACAACAAGGTAAGCACGATTTCTCCTGACTGCTGCATTTTATTGAAGACAAATCAACCTGAGCTTGAGTTCGTTTTTGTGTTCGTGTAGGAACTTGTCGATGGTTCTTCCTTGCGTCAAAATGACGATAGCCAGCCCCAATTCAGCCAAAGAAATCCATCCCAGTACATTGGAAGACACGGTCATACAGACGGAACAGTTTTGAAATGCTACTCCACAGCCGCTCATAAGTGATGCAACTATGAGAATGCTGCCAAGTGTAAACAAAGGCACTGGAAGGATACCCAAAATGAGGTTTTGTGTCAAGTTTCAACGACCAAGGACGTTACGTACCATAAAAACAGACAGGAGCATAGTGATGAATACCAATATAAAGGCTGTAAATGGAGAGAGAGATTCCTGCGATCAAATCCACACCATTAAAGATGAAAAGACCAGCACCCGCAAGAAATTCCGACCATTTTTTGCCCATCACGAGATATTGTAAATGTACTGTATGTACATGACTGTATGTACATGTTTGGTGGTAGTAGTTGAAGTAACAGAAAGAGTTGTGTGTACCCATTTTGCTTCGTATTTAAAAAGCTTGTTTATCCAACCTTCTCTTTAACTGTCTGACAGTTTAGAATATTGAATTTAATATAAGAAATAATTACAATAAAATGGATGGTGATTCATGGAGCAAGTGCTGCTCTGGTAGTGCATTGTTTGTCTTCAATGGTGTCGACTTGGTGTGTGGAGTGGCGCTCATCGTCTACAGTCTGTACATTGGTATTACTTTTTCATTACAAATTTACTATTTGCAATAGTATTATTACTCAATTTATAAAAGCAAGTACTATTTGCAAGTACTATTTCTTACTCATACATATATTATTGATACTATTTTCTTATGATAAACTATAGGACTCAATGGCTACGCTCCGGAATGGCTCTACATGCCGATTGTAGTAGTAGGAAGTCTATTACTTTTGTCAGTATTAATGAGCTGGTGTGGAGCATCCAATCAGAGCTGCTCTATGTGTCTATCATGCTCGTCGTATCTTTTGATTCTGCTGTCTTTGGCGGAATTGGCATTGGGAGTGGTCATTTTGACTCAAGGATCAAGTATTGATCGATTCTTACAACAACATCAACAAGAACTTCATCTCACGTACGTTGAGCTTTTTTATTAATTTCTAGAAGTATTTTTTGCTATTTTTTGGAAAATAGTTTTTTTTTCTAACTTGAACATTTTCACATGATTTTTGTAGCGATGACCAGCTGCATCGTCTTGAGAATTACAAGTTTATTCCGGCTTATGGATTATTAGCTCTATTTATGATGGAAGTATTGAGATTTTGTTGCAGTAGTGGACTGTATCGAGTACGACTACACCAAAAATATCACTACCGACATTTGAAGACACTACGTGGGTTAGATGAGGATTTATTGGCAGTTGAGACGGAAAAGGTAAGACAGTTCTTTCCGACTTGTTTGGAATGACTAGATCCATGTAGTTATTCCTTTTACTAATGTGGTTGTTATTTTTATAAAGGACATTTCAAGTAAATATGCAGTGCTCAAGGACAAGTACAAGAAAAAATACGTCGCTCGGGAAGCTGGACGTGAACGAGAACTCGAAACAAACTGATGCAATTTACATGGAAAGCGAGTGAGTGAATGGGCGCTTTCTGCTTCAGAAAGTTTATTCTACCGAGTTTTGTTGAAGTAATGACATCGCGCGACATCAATGGAAGTTACTGACTATATCGAGCTCAACTTGTGCGGTCGTATCGACAAGGACGTAAAGTCAGATGACCAGTTGCGTCCACATTGGTGAGACTTGGTCCAACATGTATCAAGCCTTACCAAGTAGGCCATTCATGACGCGTAAAGTGTCACAATTGATCCAACTCTCCAGCCTCTCGCAACAAAGTATCGCCAGTGGGATGAGCCGCCGCCAGAATCTTCCATGGATTCTCGTCGGCTGCATAGTGTCCCTCCAACTCACTTACCTGCTGTTCCACCTCATGCCTCGCTTTCATTCAAAGATTCTCGTCGAGCGTAGCAAGTTTTAATAGCATCAACACATTGAGTGGATCTCCATGTCGACGCTCTCGCCTGAAACTCGTCGCCATTTGCAGTCTCAGAACCAAAAGCTCAACTACTTGGCCACCTTGAGCGAGAACTTGGTAGAGAACGACCCTTCCCTGTCACCACCCGATAGGCCTGTGGACTACCACCACCCGCTTGTCATGGCTATGAGCACTAACGAGATCCTGATGACGTTAAATCACCGCTCCAGGTCGGAGACTTTTGTCTGCACTCTCCAAGGCGTCGTTTTTGAGGATGCCAAGAGACAGTATCACAGCAAGCTCACCAAGCTCGTGGCTTTGGCCACCAATGCCAATACTCTTGGTACGCAAAGTAATGTGCTACTTGCCAAGAAGGCACTCCGATATCGCAAGGCAATGGAAACTCGACGCATTCTCGTGTAAAAATCCCAAGTCTTTTGAAGAAGATCGGCCGCATTGGAACCTAAAAGTCTAAGGACGGACACGACAGTCGCCCACTGGAAACCGGGTAGCTACGTGTAATGTAAAGTATCTATAAGTGTAAAGGTGACTCAAATGACGTGGGAGTCGTGTAGTGAACTAGCATGTAGCTATGTATATAACAATGCTCATTGAATCAACGTTGTTGTTCAATACTTACCTGGATAGCATTGTCATAACCAATGAACCTCATCGTCAATACCTCTTATTAGACGTCCACTACAGCCCCTTTGCATCTTGTAGCAATGGTCGAACTCCCAACGATCACTCGTCCTAATCTAAAAATCTTCAACTTCAGGTTCAGACGTGATGCATGCATGATGCTTTTGAAATGCTATTTGTAAAGCGAGGGAGGCCTCTGATAAGACACTCTCGACATACAAAGCATGAACCACTGTTAACAAAATAAACGCTCACCCCTTTTCGACATCATGACACGTGTGTGTGGCAGATATTTACAACAGCCAACACTGGTGCAGCATGTTTAAAGTTTCACGTTGGCCAAATATGACCATGTGTTGTTCAGAGAAACTCTTTCCGAGGACTCGACAGCTTCAGATCCATTAGAACGCAAGCTTCCGGTGTGATAGTGGGCAACGATTATAACATCAAACCATGTTGTGTTTCCAACGAAAAACAACGAGCCGTTGAATCAGTGACCGTTTTGCCCAGACATAGGCGATGATGCATCCAATGATGAGTCATACGTACTCTTTTCACAACGTTGACCTGCGTGCTAATAAAAACCTTTCCACATGTCGGACATGTGGTTTCACGAAGCGGTCCTATCTGGACTTGTTCAACCATACCAAGACAAAGATGCATGTGTCCGTGTGCGACAGTCCTTGAGTCATTGCACTTTTTGCATCTACCTCGACACTCCACTTTTACAATGACTCAAGACAACCTGTCACATTCAAGTGGGACATGCTGCATTCGAAGAGTACGACGACGATCTTTATCGGAAGGTTGCGACCTGAATCTCCTGGCTGCCATCACGGACGGAGAATCTCTTTCTACTGAACCGGACAACAGTTTCGACCACCTTCCCATTTTATCAAGACAACATGCAAACAAGGTTCTACCGATGGTAGCTCACCGTTCCAAGTCCGAGAGCACTTTCTGCACAGCCCAAGGCATTACATTCCAGGATAAGTCTCAAAAGTATCAGACCAGACTAAAGAGTCTTATTGCCCTTGCAGCAAACCCATGCAGTTCTCAGAGTAATGTCATGCTCGCCAGGAAGGCACTTCGATATCGCAGCAAGACTGGAGCGTCAACCTGCTGAGCAAATTTAGACTGCATCATTTCCCGTACAATACAAGCATCACCTTTCTTCTAACCATCATTTTAATGATTGCTCTCGATACTTATCCAGTCAGTCAAAAGGAGACGCTTACTACCCTAATGGTGGTGAGTAAGACTTACCTGTCAACTCAATCTTTTGCCCCCTCATTCATCTTCTCTCTCTCTCTCTCTCTCTCTCTCTCTCTCTCTCTCTCTCTCTCTCTCTCTCTCTCTCTCTCTCTCTCTCTCTTTACCCACAGCCACGTTGTTTCTCCTTCTTCATTGTTCTCTTCTTAGCCTTGTCTTTTCTAGCTTTATCTTTTGCAAGTAACTCTTTTTCATACTTGACTTTTTTCTCATGTTCCTTCTTCATCTTGTCTCTCATAGCATTTTGAGCCTGTTGGACCCTCTCTTTGTTCGAGTTCACAGGTCCCACCTCTTCTGATCTCTTTTCCTTGTCCTTGATCTTGATTACATTACCTTCTTCATCAAATTCTGACATGATAGTGAAGCCATATTCATTAAGAAGCTGCTCACGGGCCGCAATCTCTTCCCGTGTCAAATTCTTGAGCCGGTCCGCAGCCTTTTGTTTCTCTCGTTCAGCAGCTTCTTCAGCCTCTTGACATTGTTTCTCTCGTATTTCTAGATCCTTTAGCTTCTTTTCTGCCAATTTCAACTCTTCTGCGTGTTGAGACTGCTGTTTGTCAATTTCAAGGAGATTTTTGACATCTTGCGTCATTTTTGACACGTCCAAAATGCGGTCCAAAATGTCTTGGGCTACGAGACCATCTGCTGCGCTACTAAAGACGGCAATGACGCTGGATACACGCTCCGAGATATCCATATCTTCATCTTGGATAATACTGAGCGCATATTCGACGTACACGGACGCGTCGAGGTTCAAACTCGATACCTTTGCAATTACCCAAGCTTCCATTGATGGTCGAGACGTTTTTGACAACGAGGTTGTCAATAATAAAAAAGACTGAGATGGGTACATGTATGATTAGCAATCGAGATATTGTAATATTACAGTATAGACAATAAAGACAATATCAAATTAAGTATTGCAATATCAAACTAGAACCACTGTTAAGCCGCTGATGCAACAGTTCAGTATTCCAGTCCTTGAGGACGAGATGCCAATCAGTGAAACGTAGCATGTTTACCGTCCTCAGCTGTTGTTGTTGCTGTTGTTGTTGTTGAGCCTAAGAATACCTTATGGTATAAGATAACAAGTTACGTCGTCGTCTGGATGAACCCAACGTCGGCGCTACCATCTACAATTCCGCCGAGCCGTTGACCTCGGTAATCGTAGCATTTTAACCATTAGATGCTGCCATTACCGAATCTCGGAATGAGAAGTGGTAGTCTGTTCTCTGATTTCTTGATGAGCTTAGTCTAGTGACTATAGAACCACTTCGATCCTTCTCTTTCTACTCGGAAGAAGTATATCGCATCACAAACTTTGTCTATTTATTCTTTCATAAGGGTCCATATTTCTACACCACAACTGTAAATTATCTTCAGCTTCTTGATCACTCTGCGTATAAACTCACCGATGAGCAATTCTTTTTACACTATAAACCGATGACGCTCAAGTACTTTGCGATATCTCAGGGCTTTTTTGGCTAGCACGACATTGCTCTGAGAACTCGACGAGTCAGCGGCTAGAGCCACAAGGTTGTTGAGTTTACTCCCGTACTCTTGGCACTTGGTGTCTTGGAATACAATGCCCTGTGCCGTGCAGATCAAACTCTCGGACTTGGAACGCTGCTCCATCGCCGCAAAACGGTCTCCGCCGTGGCGTTTGCTGAGTAGAAGTGGGTGGTGGTCATCTACGAGCTCGTTGGATGGTAAAGTGAAGGATGGATCGTCCTCCATTTTTAAGGCCGAGAAACTGCTCTCCGACAAGGAACGGCGGCGCGAGTGAGTTGACATGATCGTACTTCGATGGAAAGATAACGTTAGCTCTTGGCTGTATTGGGTAAATCTCCAAGTGAAGTGTTGTGAGTCACGTCCGTCGTGGCAGCCAATGACGCCTAGTGAAGCCAAGCCACTTCAGCTTCGTGCCTATGCAGCTGAAGAAGAAAGGCGGAACTTTCGGGCGACTCGTCCGCAGTGCGACTTTTTTTAAATCTAATACAAAAAAGTGAGATGCCTGCATTTGATGGCGATCTCTTTTTCTTTTGTGCAATCGTTTGGCTCCATGTGTGGATACAGAGCGTCAAAGTTACATTCTAGTTCCGTACTGGGTAGCTCATCGTAAGATCTTCTTTTGTATCCAAATAGAAACAATGTAAGAGCACAGTATAAAGCCTGGTTGTAGACCGGGAACAGCACAAGCACAACGAATGACTGCTTCGTCTCCGAAAGTTCCATTACAGTTGAATCAAAGCGCAGGACGTTGCACTCAGAGTATCAGATGATTTAAAAAAAATGTTGTCCTCTCTATACATGTAGACCAGCATGACGTTGGTCTCCGTTATCAACATTGAACCAGCCGTGGCACTTTACGTTGCGTCGGATCCTACGCATTGTTGTGATTATCCTTGATCAAAAGTACTTTCTAAAGCTCAAAGTTAGCTTGCAGCTTCAACCTTACGGATCTGTAAACTTTACAATCCAAACCTACGACTTTAACGGCCGGGAGTTATTAGAAAGAAGATGAGACGTTTGCTTGCAGTCACAGAAAAATTTATATTTTTAGCTGCGGTTTTTAAGAATGGCAACCGTAATGACTGATCTTGAGTTAGACTTGCACCTATATACTTTTATGATCCAAACGTATCGGCATGAAATGGAGACATGCATTTATTCTTACTAAGTCGTCTGTCTAGTTGAAGTTAAAGCCAGTAAACATGTTCATTTTGTGAAAAGACTGCACAAACTTAGGCGAAGCCGAGGCGACGTAACAACTCTCGTAGCGTTTCACGAGTCGTATGATCGGATGTTCGGGCTCAAGGGTCGGACGAGTACGGATCGGCGTCTGAACAGAAAGGATATCTTCTATATTCGTGACCTTCCACTTCAAACTCTCGACGCAGACGTGTTGGGAATATACCTGTGAATGAAGTCAAGACTGCATTGAGATACACTTTGCAGGACTAAGCCTGTCAGAGCCCCAGCGATAGCTAAGTAAATCAAGGCGCTATCGTCTTCTACCAACCAAAATGTATCGGGTAGACCGAAGAGTCGGGAGCATGAGCACGTGCCGCTCGAACGATGGCTTTGCAGCAGAAAAAGCTTTGATCGCTTCTATCGGATCTAGTGGACGACGAATTAAATCCGTCGGGAACGCATGGTCTGACCCAACTAGCTGTTTCTTTGGTATTTGTTTCAATCAATCGCAGCGGAACACGAGAAAAAGTTAATGCTCCACGGGATAGCAGGTTCTTACAATGCCAGTTTTGAGACACAGGAGAGCGAGGCAACCCTGTATAGCACGTACTGTACAAGTTGCTCATGATTGTCGCGAACAGTTACTAGCCTTTTTATCGAGCAATATTTATTCCATTTTGTCCATCAATACTTGTTTGAAAGGGTCACACGGGTCACGCAGATAGCAATAACATTGCTTAGCATTGTGTCAGCCTTCACCAAGAGTGATCAGGAGACGATCATACTAAGTGAAAGTGGTCACCACCCCACATCACAGGAACATCGACTCGAAAGCAAACCATATCAAGGTTTTACAAGACTCGATCACAGAGTTGATGTAGGCCCAAACCTTTGCGTCGAGCAAATGAATGATGATAAATTCATGCAACAAGTGAGCATTCAGCCTCTATTGCTGGTGCAAATGGGCATTCTGTCTTGCGTAGGAAATCAATTTTTGAAGCGTTCGAGATTCGTGGATCTCACGTACGACCGACCGCAGCGTCGGAGCCGGTTCACACACAGGCAACTCCGTACACACAATAATTTGCATATGGCTGCTCGAGAGGATGGCTCGCTACAACACATGGTCGAAAACCATGTGTGACAAGCTCGGTATTGTGTCGAGTCCCTCATAATCATGCGATGGACGACCGTTTTGACAAGGCAGTTCCGACGACTCCGATAACGATGTCCGAAAACTCTAGCATCAAATGCAGACAGGTTGCCGTTTACTGTGTCATATTGCACCCAACTGGTGTTTCCACGGCATGCGTTCGACTCATTGTTTGGTGGGGCATCCTCTGTAGCATATATTTATCGATGTATCATCTGAAAAAATGCAAGGCATTGCGTGTCCTGCGACGCGACATCATTGCTCAAAGACACGCAGGCAGCGAAGCAAGGAAAGGCCTTCGCTTTCACATGTCGTCCGTTCCGCCTCCTAAAAAACGTAGTCGTCACCTTGAGACAATGAACGTTCGAGCCTTCGCGAAGCAGTCAACAGCTTAATTTGTCTCTCCGAACCAAGAGAAGCGGCAGAAGACGGGGTGGAACGCGTCTGCTTCATGTACATGTACTCACGCAAACACACACTCGATCGATGACAATCTTTATGACTCAAAAGTTGCCATCATCAAATACTTCGAAGCTGCCCAAAGATGCGCCGTTCTATTGACGAACTATCGTTACCGTATCTTCGTTATTCCTGCGGTCTGTACAGAAAAATCGACACGAAGCGCATCATTAGATAACGAGTAAATGCAACATCTTGTGATAGAACCTCCTTACGATAATAAGCTACATTTCAATATGTATATGAAATTTATTGGAGATGAATGATTACATCGCTCTGGTCTCGTCAATTGGCTGGGCAGGTAGGTCCTACTGAACTGAACAGTAGCTCGTACGCTTGCACCGATCGATTGGTGCTATGTTCATGGTCGACATCGTTGTTATGATATCAAAGTTTCTTGTCCGATTAGACTTTCAATAGGACTGGATCAGCTATGATGAGACTGGCCTACGGCACCAGGTAATACATGGTGTGTACAGCAGGTAGGAAGGCAACGTAATGGATAGAAACATGCGGTATTACCTTTGACACCGTTAACACGTATATTGCATGAAGATGGCGTTATATGATGACGATCTCGCCTCGACTTTATCAACAATCTCCTGGCTCTTAACTTAAATGTCTGTGCGTGGCGAGCTCTCCTTGAGTATGTTGCATCCTTTATCTCTCTTATGAGTTAGCAAGTTCGCCGTTATGCAGATCACAGTAGGCACCCCGACGAATCATGTTAAAGCACATATGTGCTTGGCATTTGCGTCCTCCTCCGTGCGAAAAGCACTTGCCATTGCCTCGGTCCTTCTTATCGCAACCTTCAACGCTACAGGACCGGACACCGCCGTGTAGGTAGCAAAAACCGTTGCGTTGCGTGCCCTTCTCACATCCTTCGTGCATACACCGCTTGCCACCGCCATGTGCGCGACAAAACCCGCCACCCTGTGACGACTTGCTGCAGCCAGTGAAGCTGCATCGAGCACCACCTCCGTGGCCTTTGCACAATCCGTTTGACTGTGCGCGTTTATCACAGCCTTCCATTCGGCAAGGCTTGCCCTTGATCCACCGACCGTCTTTATTGAGAAAAGTACCGGGCTTCCGAAGACACGGGTAGGTCATGGTCGGTTTCATCCGACCGTCGGTCATCGGAATACTGGTCGGCCGCTGCTGCATTAACGCAGTGAACGAATGTGGCTGCGGAACCTGTATTTGCTGGACACGATGAGGCATTGAGAAGCCTGTGTTAAAGGCCGGGGTAGAGACGTTATGGTTGACGCTTGGATTGGTGTTCTGCTCCGTGTTGAGACTGCACATGATAGCGTCGATGAGGTCTTGATCTCCAAAGACGGAACTGAGAGACGTGGCCGCCTGGGATCGAGGTGTCGGGATTGCATTGGGACGTGGTCGGAACTCAAAAGGCTCGAGTTCTTCTTTTAAAATGTTGAGGGATGGTTTGGCTACATTGGTATTGACACTGGTGATGGGGGTGTCAGAAGATATGGAAGCCGTAGACGATGAAGAAGACGAACGGTTGTACACGGGCGGGAACATGGCGGAATCAACGGGTGAGGCGGGTGTGCTTAAACGAGGGTCCAACATATTATGGGGTCTAAGAAATGGTTGGGAGGTACGAATGCTACAAGAGCAAAACGTGAAGAGCTTCGATAATCTGTCGTGCTGAGCGCTCGGCGGATTTAAAAATGACCCTGCAAGTGAAGTCACTGTTTGTCAATCTGTCGATCTGTCTATCGGCTGTGTGTATTAACCGACCGAAGAGGTGAGCTGACGGAGGGGTGGGAAAAGGAGATGGACGTGAACGAGACTTCAGAGAGTAGCTCAGTTAGATCCGTATTGCCACCAGCAGATGACGAGAGACTTTGCCTGTTTCTTTCTAATAGGAAAATCTACTAATGATCAAATGGAACTCTTTGCCACGTGGGGACAAACGCACCTGCTTCATTATACCATGTGAACAAGTGAGGCAAGCGCAAAGACGAGGATCAGTCCATCCGCCGAGTATAGTATCTACAACTGTACGTCGGCTGGTTGGATGATCCGTTGAGTTTCGTACTGGCAACTAGTCTTTCGGGCAGACGGCAGAGGTGGTATTTGGTTTGTAAATTGTTTTGTCGTAGTACGCGCTTGTCAGTTGAGTTTGACAAGAGATACTTGAATAAAGTATCGAAATGTGCCGGGATTATTAAGTGATGCTTTCATTCGTCAGGATGAGTACAAGTAGCGATCCTCGCGCATTTGAACTTGATGCGAAGTGCGAACGGCATGAAAAGGAGGGTCAGGCACAAGGGGCCGTCCACCGCCCAATGCTCTTATCCCTGACAAGGTTCACGCATGATAAGAAAGTACAAGATGTAATGGATGTGTGGAAGACCGCTCCAAATTATTCGCGACTCACTTTGCAAAGAAAATTTCAGACGATAGATATGTCCTCTTTACAATTAGAAAAGAAGCTTCATATATATGTATATGTATATTGAACTACAAGATACCGTGGTAGAGGTAGCAATGCACTTGCACACGATCTCAGTTGTGGATTACCCGAATACTGTGACTCACACAGTGTAAGCGTCTCATAAGAGGCAATAAAACTGAGCAATTGGTGGTAAGTCCAGCACCCATCGCCATTCGAACGATGAGACTACGGTACATGCATCAAACGTATGGTTTTAACTTTCTGTCACTGGCAATTGGCGAAAGTTTTTGTAAACGACGTGACAGGCAAATTGCAAATCATTGACTCAAAGGTTGACCGTTATTGCTGAAGCGGCATTGATCGTTACTTACGCGATTGTGCCGCATATAAAGTGTATTGGAAACGTTCATGCAAATTTACGAAGTAAGACGACCAAGATAGCACATATAATGTATTTATCCATCTTTACATATTGCATTCTATGAAAGGACCGCATAAGCCCGTTGCGTTGCTCTTAAGACACAGCGTCATAGTCGCACATACAGGGTGTCGTTGCACATAAAGTGCAACCCACCAGCTGTCGTCGTAAGTCCAGCAAATAAGAACTGAGATGTTATTTACTTCAAGTCTCTTATAAGATACGGTGCTTAAAGTAACAGCAAAGTTGGGGCGCATCATTTTCAAGGACTGGCTACGTACCCAATTGATATAACGAGGTGACAGCAGCAAGTTCGTCAGTCTGGGCGAAGATGCTGCCAGCTTGCTTGAACAACGTGCTGTACGCCGGTCCCTTGACTAGAGAGAGTTGATCCTGCCTGTCTCTCTTCATTACGAGCAACCCGAAGCTGGGCCGGGCCACAAGCAGTCATTTAGATACGTTACATGTACTGATACAGAAGAAACAGAGCAGTATAGTATTTAACAGACGCTAATGGTGTCAAAGTCATGAGGTGGGCCATAACTTTTGTCGCCCAACGGAGACTCAAAGGTCACATTCCCACTTCAACTTAGGGATAGGCTCTTGACTACCAACTTTCCAAAAATTACAGCATATACGGTTGCGGGTCCTGTGCAACAAGAGCCGTGGCGGATGTACGCTCCCAGTCCTCTGTGACTAAACTTGCTGCGCGACGAAATAATTATCGCCATAGCACAAGTCTCTGGCGTGTTGACGGCTTCTAAAGTTGCTCATCAGCAAGTACAGTAACTCTACAAACGTGGCCCTGCGACTAGAAATGTACACGTAGCATTTTTCTTCTGAACACATCGCGTAACGCAACGATTGCTACAAAATAACGGATATCATGCCGATACTGTACCGACATCCCCCATATTAAACGTATTGCCAGACTCATCAAGATGATTCAAAAGCTCGCCACCAGGCTCTCTCCAATATGTGGCATGCTACGTTGCAAGGGCAAAGTGAGATTGCCAGTGGATGCCGTTCTAAGCTAGAGACAGCTAGAAGTGCAAGATACGTTTGACATATATGTTTAATCGAAGGGCTCTCATTTATCTTTTGCAAAAGTAACCGACAGAATCGGAAATGTGAAAGGCGTGAACTTGGTCAAAGGGTCAGAACGAAACTGCAACTTCCCGAAGGCTACCGATTAAAAACGACCGAGCTAAGTCACTTAAACTTCAATGCGGTTCAGGTGTCTGGTAAGCACAAGGATTCTCAGCTGGTCATTAAACTGAACTCCTGACGACAAATGGCGACTTCCGCACCAAGCTAGTGATGCCATCATGAAGAAGTGGAAGCTCAGCCTGTGCACGATATACCCATTAGAATGGCGGTCAGCACCCCCAGGTCCCTCTGTACCTACCTACTCCAGATTGTCTACCCTTGGCTTGAAGGGTCGCCAACAATGATATACCACCGCTGCTTCGAAGTTATGACCTCTTGGACTTCAATTAAACCACTCATTCACTAAACCAATTCCGTTTCTGTTTTTTTCTTGCCATGTGCTCCTCAAAAACTGATCCCCTGTACAACATGGATCAAAAACATTTGGCCAGATGCTTCTTCCCAGATGGTCTGAACCAATTGCCCCACCTTTGCTTGTAAGGGGAGAGGAGTGCAATTCCATGTTCTCGCACTTTTCGACGCTGCTGGACACACTTCGTTCAACCACGGAAGCAAGTCATCTATATCAGCCGAGCATTAGTCAGCGACAAATTTCTCTCCCACCTAAAGAACAAAAAAGAGGGTGGACTATTGTATTGTCTGCACCTGCAAACGAAAAAAATCAGGTGCGAACTCTTGGTTCTGTTTTTTTTATCTTCCATTCTTTTTGTCCTTTCCATAGTAACACCAAGGTTATCCACTCATGCAGCCTCAACTTTTTTCAACAGCGGGCAAGTTCAACAAAAATCCGTTGCAGTCCATCCTCGTTCTTCTTGTAAGATTCTCTAGTATCGAGTTATGGACGAGGCGGCATTTGTAGAATCACTATTTGCACCCGAGATGCGGTCGACTTCAAGTCTTTTGTCATCGCCATTGCCATTCTCTTGTGGTCGAGTAAAGACACGGATGGAATCCGATCGTTCATTACCTCCAACTAGCAACACGTTCGTGCCTCCTCCACCCAATTCATTACTCGGTGGTGGCATTGCTCTCTCCCATCTCCAAGCACCTTATCAGCCATCATTATCCGAAGACGTACCTTTGTTCGTTCGTCTTCATGAAGACGACATGTTTAGTCAAATGCTTACGGACCAAGATTTTTCCGACTTTCATCATCATTCGACCAATTTCAAAAAGGAGAATGAAAATATTGTCAAACCTTTAGTAAATACTAGTTCATTGGCCTTGGAACCCTTAGATTTACCTCGAGACAATGAAAAACAGTGTCTCAACGACTCGACATCGTTTCAAACTTCTGGGGTGTCAAGACATGGAAGCTCCTCATCACATTCAGCTAGTAATAGCATACATGGCTACACATTAGATGGCAATGGCATGCCTTTTGGACTCACTACTCCCGTGTATTTTGCTGGAGAGTTTACCACTTATCCACCAGCTCGTCATTCATGGATACAAGACGAACAAGGAGATGTGTCGACATTGAACAATATCAATTATCAAAGGGTTCATACCCTGAAACACATGATGACTGGAGTTGGAATGATGCAACAACAACCAAGTCCTGGAGCTGTCGATATGTTTAATGCTATGGCAACAAGTTGTCACTATTCAGCATCTCCTGAACTCTGGATCTCGACCTCAAGAAACGATCGACAAGATGTATCGGAACGCAAAAGGAGGAAACAATCATTTGATGTCATCAAAACATTAGTGGAACATCCTCCTTTGACAATCTCACCACCGGCTTCTTTGACTGATAAAGTTCTTAAGGAACTCATTGTATCCACTGACTTTGAGACACCAACAGCGTCTCGACAGAAACGAGCACGGAATGTTACTAGTGACCAAGATACAGACGATCATAGAGCGAAATTAGCTCGAACAACATCAACGTCACCAAGCAAAGCTGCAGGCAAGTCTATCAAGGGGAAAAAGTGTGTCGAGTTTGGCTGTACACGACGTGCTCAGTCCAATAGTCGCTGCAAAGCTCATGGTGGTGGGGCGAGATGTCAATATGCAGGACCTGGTGGGTGTATCCGGAGTAGTCAAGGTGGTGGCTTTTGTCGAGCTCATGGCGGTGGCAAACGCTGTGAGTTTCCAGGCTGTACGCGTGGCCAACAACGCAAAGGTCGGTGTTATATCCATGGTGGAATTCGTAAGTGTCAATATGGTACTTGTGAAAAGAAGGACCGTGGTAATGGTTTTTGCATTTCACATGGTGGTGGCAAACGTTGTGAACATCCAAATTGCTCGCGAGCTGTTCGACGCGGTCTTCAATGCCAGATTCATGAAACACAGTTGAAGGCGCGAGGAGAAACGGTATTGTTGTAGTTGTTTGATGCTGCTTTTTGTTGCACAAGTAAGCTGAGATGTACATTTACATGAAGTAAGTTGAGTAACACGTTGCATTTGATATGAACATAGTTGATGTTGTCATGAACATTAGAACGCTGGGTTTACATACCTTTTAGCAGCTCTATAAGACATTTGACATCTTGTCCACATGCGATTTCATTCAATAGTATCGATCACCAAAACTACAAAGTAGACATTATCAGTGCCTACAGTACTGCTACAAATTGCGTAAGGTTGCGTTTGAATCCAGTACAAGCAGCTAGAGTTTGCGAGTTGAAGTGGCAAAGGGCATACACTCGGATTAGATAATGCTGACGGGATCAGCTTCTCGTAATGAGCGGTTATACTGTTGCAGTACCAGGCCATGTATCCATATAGCCCTTATCCTACTAACATCACCGAAAAAAATCTCTCCAAAAAATCTCTGTCATTACATACATTCGTTTTGGCGTTTTTAAGGTCGATTTATCGTTTATACACTAAATAAACTATCTTTCAATGGCACAACTTTATCGGGACATTATCCAAAATTATGAGCTCCGATGGTCTACGCGCGCGCTTTCGGCAGCGCCAAACGGAGCCAAACAATAGCGTCGAGCTCGGTGCATCTTCTGCCAATGCTTACTTTATATCTAAACGGATTAGTAAACGTGTGCCTCGCAAAAACAAGCCTCCTCCATTGAAAAAGCGACAACCTGTAGCTATTCCAGATGTTCAAACTCAACGAATAGCTCCGAGCCATCAAGACGTGGAGGAGCGAGAGGAAGACGATGAATTGAATCGAATATTGCAATTTCCTTTACGTGGCCAGTTACTGGCTGAGCTGCGAGCAGTGGACGAGCAGGGAAAGCCGCAGGATAGATGCTTTGAATCGCACTTTTCTGCCTGGAAGAGCGAACTCCTTGGTGGCTACAATTTGCTTTTTTATGGATTAGGCTCGAAATTATCTCTACTTCAAGTATATGGATATTTTTGACATATAAAAATCGATAATTCCCGAAAAAAAGCTAACAAAAAAGTGTTTTTTTTGGTTTATGTGTGGCATAGGAATTTGCGTCTTCGTTTCTGAGTGATGGTGTCGTGATACAAGTGTATGGCTATTTGCCTGTCGTGTCGCTCAAATATCTAGCTCAAAAGATTCAAGAAAAGGTGAGAGTGATCGGAGGATTTAGTTTGTTGTGGCGAATCCTTCTTTTTCTCGTTTGACACTTTTTTGTGGGATAGATATTACAGATCGATCTGAAACCGAACCAGTCTCTTGTTCATCAGGTTGACGACACTTGATACATGTTTTGTTAATTTATTGGCCCGAGGCTCATATTTTCGTCTTACTGTGGCACGTTTTCGTCCAGTGTCGAGATATTGCCAAGACTAAACCATCATCACGACACATGCTGCAGATTTACTTGCTGGTGCACTCAATTGACGGTTTGGCGCTGCGTAACCCAGAGGCTCAGACATGCTTGAGCTGGCTAGCAAAAGCGCCATTTATCGCTCTTATTGCGTCAATGGACCACATCAATGGTCCTTCCATTTGGAAAGAGGAAGACTCACTTCGGTTTGAGTGGCTCCATCAGAATCTTGATACGTTCGAGCCGTATACGGACGAGATTGAACTGAGGCTGACCAAACGGTCAAAGACAGCTGATGCTTCAAGCAATGGAGTCAACTTTATTCTTCAAAGTCTTACTCCAACAAATATTGCTACATTGCAAGAGCTGGCACGCCAGCAGCTTGCGGCTGCAGATTCATCGAAGAAACGCGTCCAGAAGATTAAACACAAGTTTGTACCTTACCAGTCGGTGTATGATGCCTGTCGAAAGAAACTATTACATTCTACACCATTAGCAATGAAGAATTCCGTGAAATGCCTTGAAGACCATGGTCTACTGAAACAGCGTCGTGTCGACACCGTGGAGTATTTGGAGATACCATTACCGGAATTGATCATCAGGACTGACATACTCCGTGTAGAGGCTGAAGATTGAACATGTTACAGCTACGACAGCAACTTATAGTCCATGAAATTGGTGGGAGCACTTTGATAAAGTGTTTTACAAGTTTCGCGAAGAATGAATCCAAGAATTGTAATTTACAACACCAATTTCGTTCACGTTGTCATTTTTACTGGGCTCATAGGGGGCGTGTCGTGCAACGCAGTAATCAAATCATTCAGTAAAAGTCACCGGCGAGCACCACACTGCATCTTAAAAAGCAAAGCTTTGGATTGTTCCAGGACGCCAGGACATTTACAGCCTTTTTAGTTACTTTTTGTAGAAGATAATGTTTGCTGATGTGGTTATCTTCTTGTCAATTGCACAAAAAGATTTGACTAACCTTGCATCATTTGACGATTTGTGAGGTACTCAAGGAGGCACATCTCTCGATCTATCTATTATATGCTATCGTCAAATTTCGTAAAAGCCTTTTGACCCATAAAAATGTGACCACGATCCACGTGCTTTGCACCAATAACTCAATTGAAAAAATCGCTACACGAGAATAAGTAAACATCGCTACAATTGCAGTTGAGGCCCAATTACCCATTTCCACAGTACATGGGTCAACAAGACACGCTCAGCCCACCTACGCAATCGACCCGTTCTCTGTCGACGGGTTGAACTACTTTTCTGACAATCCGACCCATCTATCGACGACTGAACTTTTATCGATTTCAAGTGGGTTCACTCCAAGAGCCGTTTTTTTAGTCGGATCTTAGCCACGCATTAGACACAAAGTCTATGAATATGGAATGCAATTGCAAGATAAAACATGAGAAGGAAAGACAGGACAAGGAGGCACTCAATTTGACCGAGCAACAACGACAAGAAGTCCAGATTTATGCAATGGTAAACAAGTCCGTAGCTTCTACTACTAGCAGCGTACAGAGCAGTTTTCATCGCCGTCATCTACCGCAGAATTGTATCGCTTTTTCGAGTCCTGAAGGACGCAAACTTTTTACAGAAGCCATCAATAGTAGCAATAATTACATGCAGATTTACTTTCCATTGGCGGAACAGTTTATTACTCAAGCAGAACCAGCATTCTGTGGTTTAGCCACGTTGACCATGTGCTTAAATGCTCTTCAGATTGATCCTGGTCGTCTATGGAAGGGACCATGGAGATGGTTCAGTGAAGAGCTTTTTGACTGTTGCACGTCGCTCACTGTGGCCAAGGAAAGAGGCATTAGCATGTCGGAGTTCATTTGTCTGGCGCGCTGCTATGGCGTCTTGATGGAGGAATATCGAGCAACAAGTGATTTTTCACTGGAACAGTTTAGGGACCTTGTTAAACGCACTTGCGCTACGAGCTCAGAGATTGTGGTGCTCAACTATAGTCGCCAAGTATTGGGCCAGACTGGTGACGGACACTTTTCACCAATTGGAGGATATCATGCCGAGAGAGACATGGTATTGCTAATGGACGTAGCCAGGTTCAAGTATCCACCGCACTGGGTGAAGCTCTCTCATGTATTTAATGCCATCCAGCGTGTGGATCCATCCATTGACTTGCCCCGCGGATTGGTGATTCTAAAAGAGGGAGCACATGCTGCAGGTTGCGCATCCAACGTGCGGCAGCTTATTCACTATGACAAGCAACTGGAGGTGCCCGTCGTCCCAGCTCCACAGCAGTGTTGCTGCAGCTTGTCAGCGATAGCGACTCACCGCATGGCGGACCCACCTTTGTGACGCAATAATTGAGACGGAAGCTTCGGGTTCGATACATGATCAGTAAGTACTCGTGTAAGTCCTGGCTTGAAGGTCGACTCTAGCATTCCTGATCTTCTCAATTTCACCTGCGTATGATTCAGACATTCTTAATCGCCGACTTCTTACATACTGAAAAGTGCATGAGCCAAGCAATAAAATGTACCATGATGAGAGAATAATAAGTATCTGAGGCGCAATACACGGACCAAAGTTAATTTGCGCATGACATACTTCCACTACTATTTGTATTCACATAACATACTACAAACACTCACTACAGACATGAACTATGACCAGAGACAATCACTAGAGCTTAGAACTTGTAGTTAAAGTTGGGGCGAGGTTCATCTTTCTTTATCAGAAGCGACGCGATTGACGGCAGTTTAGGTGACTTGTTACTGGTCTGGACCTGGTAAAAACTCTTCGGCGTTTTCGAGTACGCTGTCGGTAGTTGAAACAGCGCACTGGCTGCGGCATAGCTATCCACCGGTGAACTCTGAACAGCTCGAGCCTTTTCGGTTACAGTAGGAGTAGACAACCCGCTCATCGGGGAGCATGGTTCAGACAGTACGCGCTCGAAAGCAGCTTTGCTGCTTGGGCTAGCCGGGCCCTTGAGAATTGTCATTAGCTTTACTTGTTGTTTCTGAAGGTGGTCGTTGTACGAATTGCGTAGAGCCTCAGACTTGCAACAACGTAGAGCTTTCTCAATGGACCAGATGCTCTTGCGGAGACCGCGAATTTGACGATGTGGCCAACGTGGCACGCCGTTCTTACGACAGATTTTCTTCATCAGTGTCATACAAATGCCGAAAATATTGGCTGCTTCTGCCAACGGCTTTTCGAAATGAGGTCGCAACATGTCCAGCGTGATAGACTTGGAGGCGTTGGGAAGTGCACGCACGCGCTTCTTTGACGGTGATTGGGCAGGCTGGAGTGAAAATGTTGAGACTGGAGAGGCTGCCACTTTCTGAGAGTAGCCGGAAGATGCATTCACTCGTGAAGGCAGGATATTCAGTGGAGGCAGTGCCATGCGCTCCTGTGCCGGAATGGTGGCTGAAGTCGAGTAGTCTACAGCGTGCGGTATGCCACCGAAACCCTGGCATTGATACGGTCGAGAGTGCATTCGAAACGACTCGGAATTCAAAAGATGCGGTAAGCGGATCGCGGTGAAGGTAGACATGGTACTAGTTTTGCTTTGGAGTGTCAGCTAGTGGATCAAATGAATAATGAGGAAGTGGACATGGAAAATGTGCCATGCTCACGTATTAAGTAGACGTATAGATTTCGGACCAGAAGGCACGGCTGCCAGCGGGTCATAGGCTTTTTCTCGTCAAGCTTTGGCAGCAGGCACCAGCGGCTGGAAAGGCAAGACGGGTCCGATCCACAGGCTCCAATAAGTCACGTCCGTTTCATATGGTGAACAAACTAGCTTCTTGACACCTTGAAGGCAGATGTTTTCCGGGCAGGTGCCAGCTTCCAGCTGCGCAAATGCAACTAGAACTTGGCGTTTCTTCGACGCTACGATTGATGTTTAATCACGGTCACAGGACGAGTACCACGTATGACCCCTTTCGTATAATCGTTGGCGGCGAAGGCAATTGTATGATAAGATACGTGTTATGCTACGACGGGAAAAGTCAATTAGCCAGTTTACAGCCGACAGACTGGTGAAGCGTATACAAGCTCTTGGTTTTTACACGACACATGACACTCTACTGAAATGATGATGCATGCGCGAAAGCAGGGGCGCAGTCGCAAATCGCGACGCTACGTTTTGTCAACAGCAGTCACCCAGCAAGAAAGAGGTGGACAGGGAGGATTACAACACGACAGAGATATCGGCTGGGAAAGCCATTGTGCGTGGAGCAGTCACAGCTGGCGATTGCCATGTCATTCGTAGTGCATGATCAACCATCGGATGGCTGCAAGTGCCTCTCGGATCATTGCAGACGGTAGTCTTGCTATCTGGTCACACTCAAAGGACACTGGCTCCACAGGAAGACCAGATGTCAAGTTGTCAGTTGAATGATACCTTTACGACGATGGTGTACGTGCTCACATGCATTCATGCGCTCTATGCAGCATCGAACGGGTGTTGATCCCATAAAGCATCGCAAAGCTTGGATCCTGGAGGATTGAGGTCAACTGAATATGCATGTTGCCAGGATTCCAAATTTCACCACGTCTGTCTGGGCACTTACAGGCAGACTCAACTTTGCGTTTACTATGACCGAGCACAATATCCTGAAACCAGCTGACCCCTCAGAAAATTTGGCACCAGCACTTGCTTCTACATATGCCAACCTCCATGACGTCCGGGGTGGATTATGTCGGCGTGAAAACAATACGGTGATTTTCTACCCTCCAATGCGAGTACTGCAACGCACAAGGATTGATTTCTTTGTAGCGAAGTAAAATGCCTAGATTGCAACGCTTCGCTGCTACAAATGGAGGTCCACTTTGCTGCATCGCGCCTTGCAAACTTTACGTCAAAACAACAAGAATGCTGGAGACAAGATATAATGCATTATGCAATGCACACATACCGTCTATTTATATGTCCGCCAAAAACATAAGCCCCGCGCGAACCTGGAGGAATCGAGGCCAGCAGTAAAACCCTACTTTCCACCAATCTTCTTCATCGTCATCTTGTTTTCGTAAAGTAGAAGCTTGTTCCACCCGTAAGGTCTCTATCGCAGTCAACAGGCCAACTTGGATGTCAAGGGGCTGGTAGAAGCAAAATGCTGGTGTCAAAATTCTGAAGGGTCAGCTGGTTTCCGGATACTGTGCCCGGTCAAAGTTAACGCATAGTTGCGTCAGCCTGTAACTGCCCAGACCAATGAGCTGAAATTTGGAATCTTGGCAACATGCATACTCAATTGACCTCGGTCCTCCAGACTCTAAGCTTTGCGATGCTGCATAAGGCACATAAAGGCATTTACTATTGTAATAAAGCTATTTATTGACTGAAGGTTTGACATCTTGACTTGATCACGGATGTAACGGGCCAAATACTTAGACGTTACACGCGTCCGTTAAGTATGCAATACTTGATGGACAGGTCTAATAAAGGTACGTAAACACTTAAGACCTGTCGCTTGGATGAGACACACTATGTGACACACCCTTGCGTATGTGATATACACAGGTGTATTCACATTGATGGGGATGACCGCCCAGCTGGGACTAGGTGTCACCAACTGACGTCAGTCAGTTACGTTATCAAGCGAGCTTAAACATATTTAAGCTCGCACGTAGGTATAAAGAGATGGCATACAATCATTACATATTAACCAATCATCTTAAGATTTTTATTTAAGTAAAGTCCTATCAAATATCAATCAGTCTTGTAACGGGCTAAATGTTACACGGTTCGTTTAGTATTCGATACTTAACGAGCAGGCCAAAATGGGAACGAGGTTTCTTAGGCCTGCCACTTGAGTGTGGCACATCAATGTGACCCACCCTCGTAAATGTGATATCCATGAATGGATTCACATTCAACGAGGATGACGCCAGTCGGGACCAGCTCAAGGAGACTGGTGTAGTGAATGGGGCAATGACAAGTAGTCATGCGTCCAATAGTCCTGCACAGAGCCGAGAGCATGTGGCAGTTGATAGTGGGCTGACAGGAAGTCAAGCGCCACAAGAACCGGCACAGAGCCATGGGCCTGGTGCAGTTGGAAGGTGTGCGTTGGCTAATACAGCAGCGACACCTTCTTTCAAGTCAAAGGTCGTGGTGACTCGAAGAACGAGCACCAGACGTATTAAGACGATCAAGGGCACGTCGAAACGAGTGACCCTTGGATCAGTCTTGGTCCAAGAGGACGGACCTACGAACGAGTTGTTCGAGGCCCTCGAAGACAAAATGCCGGAGGCTACTCAGTTGAGGTGCTCCAACTTGTCTTGGCATCTGCCGAGGAGATAGTAAATCTCTCGGAGATGACGTGGGATCTGTTCCTGTCCGAACTAAAGGAAGGAAAGATCCACGAGATAGTCGCACCAGTTCCAGAAGAGAACGTGGTGTACTGTTGCTCGTCGTCCACAGTGAACGAGAGCGTCTTGAAGACCGACAAAAAGAAACGGTTCGCTGCTCAAGGCTGGGAAGCCTTAAAATACAGCCCGCTCTATGATGTTCTGTGGAAACACCGTGATGTGTTTCCAGCAGAAGTGCCGAGCCGCCTACCGGCCGAAAGGGGCATCAGGCACGAGATTGAACTGGAGCCTGGCACCAAGTATTGTGTGACCAGGCAATGGCCGTTTCCGAAGGAACAAGTCGGCTGCATCAATGAGTTCTTCGACAAGCGAGCCAAGGCGGGACATGTACGTGAGAGCAAGTCGCCTCACTGCAGCCCGACCTTAGGTGGATGGCGCGTGGTTCATGCTTATAATAAGCTAAACACGGCCACGATTCCGGCTCAAACGCCGATCCCGCGGAAAGATGTCTTGTTGAACTCCATGGAAAAGTCAGCTATCTTTTTCGCTTTGGATCTGAAGGATGGCTACTATCAAGTTCTCATGAGATATACTAATGTAGCCAAGACGGCAAGAAACACCCCAAGAGGTATGCTGTGAAAGTGGCTTGTGATGCCACAAGGGTTTAAAAATGCTCCGGCAACATTCAACCGAGTGGCGGCTCACGTGATGCGTCAGCACCGTGCCTACGCGCCCCATTACTTTGAAGATGTATTGCGTGCACAGTAGGATGGAGGCCGGTCTGAGCGCAATAGAGTCGCACAAGCGTCATTTAGACGCTGTGTTGCAGACTCTGGGTGACGTCCACTTATACATGAACTTGCAAAAGTGCGTAATAGGGGTCCCCGAGATACCTGTACTGGGCTGCATCCTAGGTGCACGCGGTGTACGAGCAGACCCAGAAAAGGTAAAAGCTGTAAAGGAATGGCCAGTCCCACGACACGTGAAGGATCTGCGCCAATTCCTTGGGCTCGCTAATTACTTGCACAAGTACAGCAAGAATTATGCGGAGCGGACCAAGCCATTGTCTGACCTTTTAAAAAAGGATACAGAATGGACTTGGTCTAAGGAGCAAGAAGATGCGTTTAAATCAGTGAAGCAATCTCTTGTAGAGGAACCGGTCTTGGCCTTGCCAGACGAGGATAAGCCCGTTAGCGTCGTCTGCGATGCAAGCAATTTTGCAATCGGCAGCGCGCTCATGCAGAAGGATGACAGCGGCATTTGACCGTGTCATTTCGTATCAGTCTCGGCTTTTGAATGCTGCAAAGCTGAACTACCCTGTGCATGACAAGGAGATACCTTCAATTAAGTATTTCCTTGTGGATTTTCGGGTGCACCTCTTGGGCACCGAACCTTTTGTGGTTTATACGGATCACGCATCACTGCGGACCGCTATAAATTCCCCGCACCTCTCGCCTAGGATGGCAAGATGGCTAACATTCTTCTCTGAATTTAATTTCAAAGCTGAATATAAGCCAGGTAAATCGAATGTCTTGGCTGACGCGTTATCGCGCAGATCATACTTCGAGACAAGACACCAGGAAAGTGTGTCTCGTGCGAAAGCACAAGGTTAGTCGTCAACATTGGTAACCATGAAGGCTTAACATGTGACGAGCTCAATGGACTCCGATATAGAGGAGTGTTAAAGTCAGGAAGAACTTTGTCGCCTGCTGTTGGATCATTTTGGTGGACGAAAGGTTACCCTCCGTCGCACCTCATAGAGAAATTAAATCGCTTAGTTACAGTGATGGCCTGTTATGGCATCAACTGTCATCCTGTGATCCCTTGAGAATCTATGTCCCTCATGACACAGATCTCAAGCTGATGATACTTCACGAGTGCCATGATGCGCCATCTAGTGGGCATCTGGGCCGTGAAAAGATAATCTTACGAGTGTCAGAGGAATTTTGGTGGCCCCGCATATATCGGTGGGTGGCCACCTATATCGGTGGGTGGCCACCTATATTCGCTCTTGCGAAGAGTGTCAGCGCATAAAGCCTGCACCTTCGAACAGTGCGCCACTGAAGCCACTGCCGATTACAACTGAATGTTGGAATTCGGTCAGTTTGGACTTCATGTTTGGCTTACCGCCTGACCATAAAGGCAGGACGGTGCTCGTCTTCTTTGTAGACAGACTGAGCAAGATGGTGCATTTGGCACCATGTAGCACCAAGATCTCAGGAAAAGAGGCTGCCCTCTTGTTTC